CCCCCGAACCATCCGCAACACCAGCACCAGCACCAGCACCAGCACCAGCACCAGCACCAGCACCAGCACCAACACCAACACCAAGAACCCCCTCCGCACTCCCTCCCCCCGCAGTCGCGAGCAGGACCTCGCGCGCACAAAACGCTCGATGCTCATTTCCGCGAGCGGAATGGTTCTCTGCGCGGTGGGAATGTACGCTGTGATAAAGTCGGATGTTTTTGGACTTGAATCTACCGCCAGCAGCAACAGCAACAGCAAGGAATCCGAAGAGAAAGCTACAACGGATGGGGAAACGAACTCAAACGGGGCAATGAAACTCGATGGACCGGGTGGATTATTTCCTAGTAACCCTGCGTTGACTATTATCCACGGAGAAGGAGAAGGAGAAGGAGAAGGAAAAGGAGAGGTAGAGACAGGGACAAGCTCAATTCCTTATTTTCCTTCCGTGATTAGACTTCCTACTTGGATTGAGGGGGAACAAACTCCTGTGAAATCTGGAGAGGAGTTTAAATCCGGGGAGAAGGGTGTAGAGAAGGAGGAGGAGGAATACCACCTTCTTGGCCTGGGTATCCGGACGGTCTCATTCCTCAATATCCAAGTCTATGTTGTGGGAATGTACGTGGCGAAATCGGACCTAGCGGAACTGCAATCCCGCCTTGTGAAGACGGCGGTGCATCCGCCTCATGTGGACGAGGGCGGGGAAAAGGTGATTGCAAATGAGGTTGGTGCTGCGGCGGCGACGTCGTTGGTTTCGATGGAACGGGACAAGTTGAGGGAGTTGTTGCTGGATCAGGCGGAGAGGGGGGATGAGGCGTGGGAGGGGATAGTGAGGGAGAATGGATTGAGGACGGCGTTTAGGATTGTGCCGACGAGGAATACGGATTTCTTGCATTTGAGGGATGGTTGGGTGAGGGGGATTACGGGACGGGCGAAGAAGTATAATGCTATTGCTGCTGGTGGTGCTGGTGGGGAGTTTGAGGGAGAGGCGTTTGGGGAGGCGATGGGGGTGTTTAAGGGGTTGTTTAGTGGAGCGGGACAGAAGAATGTGCCCAAGGGTCAGACGTTGGTGTTGGCCAGGGGATCCAAGGGTCAGTTGGATGTGTTGGCTTGGGGGGATAAGGGGGTTGGAAGGTATATGGGGCGAGTGTCGGATGAGAGGATTAGTCGGTTGGTGTGGTTGAATTATCTGGCGGGAAAGAATGTCTCGAGTGAGGGAGCTAGACGGAGTGTGGTGGATGGGATTATGGCGGTGGTGGAACGGCCGGTTGGGACTGTTTGAATCCATCCTATACTATAACTATACTCCGTATGTATACTTGTATAATATGAATGTACTCTATCCTCACTCACTCATTCTATACCATACAACCCTCCCCCCTCAACCACAAGTATACCATACATATACCACAACACATAACCACATATAATAACCTAAGCATTCATTACTTTATCCTCCCCACTCCACAACCCCATCATTAAGACACCGACACACACACACACACAGAGAGAGAGAGAGAGCTAATTACAAAGCCCCCGCCTCAGTCAACAGACCATTCAACTCCGCGCCCTTCTTGCTCTGCAGATCCGAGTTTCCGCCAATGTGCTGCTGCTTAATGAAGATGTTGGGGACGGTGCGCTGCTTGGAGATCTCCTCGAGGGCGGACTGGATGGCGCTTCCGTCGGCTGGTTCATATACATATTAGCATTCATTCATTCATTCATTCGAGCTAGAATAGCACGTCGTATAGAGTATAGATAAAGAAGAGAGGTATAGTAGACAAAGAGAAAGAAAGGAAGACAACTCACGAATCTGATCCAATTCCAGCGCAGTATACTTCGCGCCGAGGCTATTCAAGAGATCCTTGCTAGCGGTGCAGTAAGGACAGTAGGACTTGGAGAAGACGACTACATTTATCCATTTCCATGACATTAGTGACATATCCACACACACACACACACACATCCATATTAAACAATAATATAATAAACAGATGCATAAGTAGCAAGAGAAAAGAGGGAAGGGGGGAGGGGTATGCTTACCAACGCCATTCTCATTAATCAAAGTCTGGGCCTTAGTCTTAGCGGCGGACATGGTGGCAGGTGAAGAAGCGGCAAAGGAGCCGAACAGACGAGTGAAGATGGAGGAAATGGTGGGCGGTTGGACCGGAGTCGCTTGGGAGATAGATATATAGAGAGGAGAAGGTGAGGGGGGGCGGGGTAGGAGGGGTTTATAAAGTCGGTAGGTATAATTGCTGGGATGGATGGATAAGATGCGAGTGGTTGGTGGATTGGTGAATTGAGGGCCGGAATTACGCAAGTGCCGCTAGTCAGTTCATGGTGCTTAGTCAGATGGCATCATCGTCCGTCTCTTAGTTACTCCGGAGGGTTCTAGAAGGTTACTCCGGACTATATCCACTATACACCTACTGAAGCCCAAGGTGGTTTGGTAACACATTTTCAAAAGCATGTAGCTATAGGCATCCTGTATAGCTAGAGAAGTCAAGTGTTGTTGAAGGGCTCTGTCAAGTGCTTATAAAGGACTTATCAAGTGTTTTAAAGGACTTAACCAAGTATTTTAAAGGGCTCTATCAAGCGCTCCCAAAGTAATCAAGTGTTCCAAAGAACTCTGTCAAGCACTTTAAAGAACTCTATCAAGCATCTAAAAATGCAATACTTGATTCAAACCTATAGTATGAACTATGTAAAGATCTGATTCAAACCTACAGTTTGAATATGCACTTAAAGAGGGTTTGACCTCCTTTTTCTCCACACCCTCCCCCCCTTGGGGGAGCAAAGCATTGAGTAATAGCAATAGAAAGTAAATCATATTCTCTCTGTAAAAATAGGAACCAACGGGAGCGATCTAGTTCTCAGCGCTAAAATCATCTACATTAAAGTATATGAAGTATACTAATTAGGTATCAATACCATTCAATGTCTATTACTACCACATAGAAAAGCTGATGCAAAAGAAAGACGCGTGATGTCGTAATGACCGCTTAATGCAGGGCTCAAACAGTAAATCAATAGATCAATCGAAATCAAGGAATAAACCAGATCAAGAATCGAAAGAATCAGATCAAGGAATCAAATGAATGACAATGGTGAAATGGCTATTAAAATCCTAGACAGATCAACACCACCCACCCAACGCTCAAAAACAATTCCACAATGCAGGAAATAGGTATCTTAAAGACGGTATGCCAATACTAACCTCACATCACTATGCAACACCCGCATCCCTTCTCCTTCGGCGGCGGCTCCTGCGCCGTCACCACCGGCGGGCTCCATTTCGGCTGCAGCGCCGCCATCGGTGGCTCTTGCACCCGCGGCATCGTGCTGTACCCCGTGCTCGAATTCGGCCGCCCCGGCTCCGATCCCTTGGGTGCCTGCAGGCTTGGACTCTTCTTCAAGCTCGGGCTCTTCTGAGGTACCGGCTCTTCTTTCTCTTTCTCTTTTCCCTTCTCTTTTTCCTCCGTACTCGCCGGCTCCGGCTCTTCTTTCGGCGCCAGCTTTTCCATCGGAATCGGCCCATCATGCCCAATGGCTAGCGGCGCAAACTCGCGATCATATGTAGTAGGCGTCTTGCCCTCCTTAACCCACTGCTCCTGCTGCATCCGTCGTGCATGTGTGGGCAGAATTTGCTGTTCCGGCGGCAGACGGGGATCCGGTTTATACATCGTCGCCAGCCATGGCGGGTCGCCTTCCGGTCGGTTGATCGGGCGGTTGTCGTTTTTGCCAGTCCGCTGTGTGCTCGACGGCACCCGGCTTCTCGGCGTCGCCTTCCGTGTCGCCGGGGGTGCCGACGTCTTGCGATTCGTGGCGCCCTTGGCCGTCGTCTTCTTGCCCGCGGCATTCTGCAGGGCGTTCCCGCGGCTACCAGGCCGGCTCCCTGCCGGAGTAATATTGCTGGCAGAGTCCACCGACATCGGCTCACTCGCCCGACGGGGCATCCCAAAGGACAAAACTTCGTCGTCGCCGTTCGTCGATGCCCGCTTGCGCTGTATCGGGAACTCCCGTCCGGCTTGCCCCGGCGAAGTCGTTGCCGGGCTGGCCGTGGGAACGGGTATTCGCGAAGAGCTCTTGCCCTGTCCCGGGTTGCGGTAGAAGCCCGACGCTCCATCGTCCGTCTTCTCCGCCGCAATCTCTTCTGGTCGACGAAGATCCCAGTTCTGGCGCTCGCCTCCTTCCGATAAAGTCGGAGAACGGGGGTCATCAAGCAGACTAGGCCATGGTTCTAGTTCGGTTGGCGGGCTGGCCCCATACGAGTCATGGTTCTTCGAGCGACCCGTCTTGTTGCCCTCGGCTCCAGCCCGACGCTGTAGGAGGATGGCAGCCTGATGCAGCTCCTCACTCTCGATCTTGGCCAGCTTGTCGCGATGGATCCAGTTGTCTTGGTCGAACTCGTTCATATACAACCCAATGCCCTCGTTCCGCTCGCCCTGTCGCACCGATCCCTTTCGATAAAGTGCATCCACCGAGTCCTTCACATTTCCGGCCCGGGGGCTGCCAATGTCGTGCCCGTAGATCGACCGCGAGCTTTCTGCTTCACTTCCGCGCCGACTGTGGCTGAATTCTCGACGGCCTCGGGGGTTGAAATGCTCGTGGCCATGGGCATGTCGCGACAAGGATGAGCTGCGAGAGCCTTTGGAGTTACGCTCCTTGGACCGGGCGTGAGATTCGCGGGACGAACGTGACTTGGAGCGATGGTTGGTACTCTACCAGGCCTAGGTCAGCATGCGATCCGACTGCCAGCAGAGGCCGCACGATGCAGTGCAACAGACAGGGTATGCAGGTACTTACATCCTGACGAATCGGGACAGCATACTCCCACTGACTCCCGTCTACACTGGGGGACGTCCAAACATCTGTAGTATAAGTCGCCGTAGCGGTCCCCGCCATTCCAACAGCAATATTAAGATTCAGACAAGGCCAGACCAGCTGGAACCCGTGGGTGCGGCGGTCGTGGTGGCAGGATAATTAAAGAGAGTGTCACTAAGTGAATTTTTCCCGTCTTGTTCCCCGATCAGGCCATCCCAGTAGCGCACAGACCAGAATCACCAACCGCGCTGGGCCGTTGTCTCGAGGACCCCTAAGCCAACAACTGTATGTACGATGTGAGGGGCGGGTGGTTGGGAGATGTGCCTCGGGGTTCACGAGTCGGTAAGAAAGGGGGGGGCGGAACACCAGAGTCGATCCGAAAGGAGGAAATCGTAAACAGCAAGTGAGTGGAGATTCCGGAGCCTTAAAATTGCAGCGTGATGTAGCCGGGGTGGACGAGGTGGGAAGTTAGGGACCGGCGGGATCGGTACCGTGGACGTATCTCAGGGCCAGACAATATTATAGGCCGATGGCGGCTGGCAGATTGTTCGGTCCGGGAATCAGAATCGTCGGGGAGGGGTAAAGAAAATGGAATTAAGGTCGAGGATGTATTAAAGGAGTTAAAAATTAGTCGACTCGAGCAGGGGAGGGAGAAACCCGACGAGGGGTAGGTAGAAGTCGAAGTTGAACCACTGGAGGAGAGGAGGCGGAGGAGAGAGGAGGGGAAGACCAAGGAAAAGGAGTGGTGCAAAGATGTGGCTGGACCGTGGCGCCAGGACAGTTTGGGTGACAAATTAAAGTCTCAATAGAGAAAGAGGAGAGAGGTCGAGTCCACTGTCAAGGGTCCGATCCAACGAGAGGTAGTAGAAGTAGAAGAAGAGGGGAATGGAAGAATACGAGTGGTCTAGAAAAGATGGAGCAGGAGGAGGAGGGAGAAGGAGAAGGACAAGACAGCGAGACAACTGCGAGCGAGAGCGAAAGAGAGAGCCAAAGTGAGAGACACGGGGGCAGGCAAGCTACGCCCCGAGCGGCTTAGTCCGCCGGCGACTATCAGACAGCCTAGAATCCATCCGGCCAATCAGCCCTCCCAACGCCGACAAGGAAGGGACCGACGCTGAAAAAAAAAAGATGTCGGTTGTCGATCGGTCGTTCTAACTGCCTGCCATCAACGCCCATGTGCCGCCCAATTCTGGTTGCCCCAGGCTTGCAGCTGAGCCCTCACATCTCATCTCATTTCATTTCATTTCATTTCATTTCCTTTCATTACTCTGTACAGTTGATTTGATTTCATTTCCCTCCGGCCTTTCGCCGGGATGCGTTGCCCCTGGATTGGGAATAAAGTCTGCCTGTTTGCCTGGACCTAGTCGATCAGTCCGATATGACATCGAGTCCGCCAGTGACGGCGTAACGGCCAACCGAGGCTAAGGGGCTAGGGAGAAGGGACCCTCGAGTCACATCTCAGCTAGATAGGTAGATCGGACTACTGTGATGATACGTATCCTTCCTTCGCCTTTAAGCGAGGCAGCTAGTCACAATTCGCCTAGCTTTGATATCGGTAGATCTCAACAGCATAAAAGTCCCACTAGATAGTCGGGCGACTACCTTAATTTGTATATCGTTGGGAATGCATTGCCCGGGATCTGCCCACCACTACCATTTATAGTGGCCGAAAAAGAAACCATACTATATGTATATGCAGAAGATGGGGATAATTACATAGTCGTTATGAAGGTCGTCGTTTGGCTCTATAACCCCCCAGGATATATACAACCCTTGCCTTGTCATGACCGGACGATACCAGTATCTTCATTACAGACAAACGACTTCAATCAACTGGTCCATGACGACAGTGTAAAGCATAAGCAGAACAAACGAGCCCAAACCGGTGCTGACAGGCTCGTATCCGCCAAGGTTTGACCTTCCAAGGTCATCCGCAACCTTGACTGTCCCTAAACCGGGCTATCCTTGGTTGGAACGCGTTTGCACTCGTTCGGAGAGTATCCCCTCTCATCACACCAAACCACAGGCACGTGGAGTGCTATTGCTCGCACTATCTCACATTAATCTGCACCTTATCTAGTGCCACCAAATCACCCGGACATCGTCATCATGCAAAAACCATGTCACAGGTACCCGGAGGTGCAGGAACCCAGTGTTCGAATCAGAGCAAATGTAGTATATTGGTTCTCTATTCCGTCTTGTATTATTATCGTCATCTTTCCATATATCTTCCAATTTCATGTACATATAACAAGTTGCATGTTTCAATTATTCCTCGCCTGATCTAGGCTGTTGAGCGCATTCTGCGCTTCCTTGATGAGAGCTTTACGCGCCTCACGAGCACCCTCCTGGCCCGAGGGCTCGATGCCGTCCGCCTTCAGAATGACCTGTGCTAGGATTGTCTCGCTCAGCTTCTTGTACTCAAAGTCCCGCGACTTAGCATCCGTCGGGGTGTTCGTGATATACTCCTCGCAAAGCGGAAGCAGCTCCAGACGCAGGTACGACAACAGGCCGTCCACTTGCTCGAGCGGCGTGCGGAAGGCATTCAGACTGGGCGAAGGTGACGGCATGCCGGATCCGCCAGCGGCAGAGGATGGCCGCTGAGGTTCGGCCGGTGGTGCAAGAGTATCGGCCTGCTTCCCCTTCTTCTTATTCTTGCTTTGGCGCTTCTTCTTGCCCGACCGCTTGCGACGCGATTCCTCCTGACGGGCCGACTCGGCATTTTTATCAGCCTCGGCCTCGGAGGTTTCGCTGGGCGAGCTCTCGCCAGGCTCAACACCGGAGACAACACAGAGCACCTCCGACTGCTGTTTGAGACCTTCCGACCGACATGGCAGCGCATCGTTGTCCAACAACTTCCCCTTGTAGAGAAGCTTGATCCGGTTCGGGTCAGGTGTGCGCATCGCTTTCGCCGCCTGCTGTCTCAGTTGGCCCACGCTGAGGGCTCCGTCGTTGATAGCATAGGCAGGGAAATTCAGCTCGTACTTTTCCTTGCGGTGCTTCAGAATCAAGGTGTCGGGCTCGCTATCCTCAGCCCCGGTGTACTGGTTCCGGTACCCGGGGGCAGGCGAGTCGACGATATCATCGTGCGTAATATAACTGTAATCACTATCGCTGACATGGGGAGGATTGTCGACGTTGGTATAACTGGGGGAGCTGCGGCGCCAGAAGTTGGTAAACTGATTGCGCCACGACATGGCGAGAAGCACAACTGTGCAGGCGATAAGGGTGTAAGCGACCGGGACTATATAAGCGCTATCGACGTGGTCGGCGACCAACTCGGGCCAGGGAGTGAGCAGGCGCAGGGAAGACGAGGCTTTGGCGGATGAAAGGGAGTTGACGAGCTGGTGGTGGAAGGTGTGCAGGGACGGGGGAAGGTTGGTGGCGACGTGGTCTAAGTAGGAAGCACACGTCTCGCCCAGGGAGGACAGAGAAACGTGAGAGAGCAGCTGGCTCATGGATTGATGGCCAAGCACGAGGCAATAATGAGGGGAATGACGAGGGTTGTTGAGGTCATGGAAGCTGGCCACTTTAGCCCCGGACAGGCAGATAAGGCGGAGTGGGCTTTTTTTTTTGCCGCTACAGTGAATTGCGACTTAGTCAAGGCAGACTCCAGGTGCCTGTCGGTGCCTTGCTTCTTCTTCTCCTCACGCGATGAAGAAAACACGAGCACCATGTGGACTCCGAGGCTTACTATGGAAAGGCATGGTCGGCCAAGACCAACAATGATAAATATCTAGGCTCTGCCAAATGAATACTTACGGATTGATGGAGGGAATCACCCCAACCCTAAAACCACCAGGCTAGACATACTCAATCTGCATCCCAAACACACTGTATACTCTTTCATAGGTTGTCACACAAGTCCTGCACACACTATCCCATCTGATCGACCACACGTGGCATGCACCGAGCACAGTGCAGTGTGCATGTCAGGTTGGGTTTCTTTTTCTCAACGAATCCCGACGCCTGGCCATCCAGCGCATAAGATGATCCCACTATAGCGGAATTCTTACCCAACCCGACCGTCCTGCTTATTCCCCTCTTTGAAGATATTCAGGCAGTCCAGTCTTGATATATGGCTCCGCGACATTCAAAGGGAAGATAGATCGACAACACATGCTTACTATTCCCCCAACTAAAATCGCACAGCACCACAAACACGAGAAACCCCCCGCCAGGAGCCGGCTGAAACCATGTGAGCTCGTAACCTTGATAGGCACACAGGAAAATAGGCCACAGAGTCGGTCGGTGCCTTGGGAGGGATGGGCAGCCGCCGATAGACTCGTCGCGTGGTTCGTCAAGCCTCTGTAACTTTAAGCCCCCCTCGGTGTGATATTCAACCTTATATGGTAAGAATGGCCCAATCATCGGTACCATCGGTCTTCATGGAATAAGGAACACGTGCTAGTTACATCGGAAGGGAGAAAGGTGATGGATGTCCATTGTTAGGATGGCAGTCACAAGCTTATGCTTCTCGGCTTGGAGACACTTGACTAGGCCTGTCGTAACCCCCTGCTCCTTGCCCCCCTGGCCTATCTGATTTGCATATGCATACATCAGCAGGTGGTACCTGCTGTATGCTGGGCATGGTAACATACGCCTGCAGTGTGATCGACGTAGCGCTAGGTTGGTGGGTAACAGACACTCTGGGTTGGGGATTTCCCCGCATCTGTTGGGTTCCACATTTTGGGTAGGATTATGAACACCGATAGCTCTGGGCTATGTATATCATAGACGTATGATAGTCAACATAAAGAAACAAACAGTATAATGAGATAGAAGATATGCCGCGAAGACATACTTCCGGAGGTAATGCAATATTGGAGTCCTTGTACAGCTCGATAAGAGCAAAATCAATGATAGCTACTATATACATCTATACAAATATTACCAACCAAGATGATCTACCAGCAACGCCTCCGCAATGCAGCAAGTATAGGTTACACTACCGACCAGTCGGTTTCCTCAGAGTCTGACCCCGCCAGGCGCCGGTCGACCACCAAACCACCTTGCCAGACCACTGTTGCCTTCATTCCCCTCGCTTCCCATCCACCGTGGAAGGCGGAAGGAGTCGCCCTGCAGCCACTGAGGCTTGCTGGCGGTCTCGAGAGTGTTCCTCACTCGGTGGGCAAATGACTGGAGAAAGTTATCTTCGTCCTCCTCGTCCTCCATCAGCGGGGTGGTAGCAGCCGTCCCCCTGGAGGCTCGAGGGGTTCGCGGGTTCTCCAGCAGTGCGGTCCGGGAGGATGAATAGGCAGGCGTGTCCTCGTCAATGCTACTGGCTGGGCGAGGCGACCGACTGCCCCGGGCGGAAAGCCCCAGCGAGCCGAGGCCGTTGAGTTCCCGCTCGATAAGATCACGTCCCTCTCGCCACCCGCCGAGCCCGTAGCCGCCAGGGTTATTTTCCAGGTCATCGTCGTCTTCTTCGATCAGCCCCCAGCTGCAGATGTTTTGAACTCGACCGTAGAGGTTGAAAAGGGTGGCCCCGATGGGCAGCAGAATGAAGACCGGAAAGAAGTAATCGAAGCCCTTCCCCAGAGGGGTCAGATCAATGAACCGGCCGAGGAACTTGTAGAACGTGGTGCTCTGGCGGACGGTCGCAGGCAAGAAGGTCAGGAAATTGTATGCGATGGGCACGGTCAATCTGGCCACTAGCCCCGCGTACCAGCAGGCGCTCTCCCCGTACGTGTTCCGGCGGACCAAGGCACGGTTGCCCCACACTTTGGCGTCGTTGACACCCACCAATGCCGCCGAGCACATGTACAGCAGCCAAGCAGAGGCTATCAATTGCCGCCCAAAACCGACCGGCGCCGGATCCTTGTGGTAGGACACCACGGAAAGTGTCACCACAGAAAGCCGAGGCGCCAAGGATTTGACCAACTCCGACCACACGACGCAGACGGAGGCCGCCGAGAAGATTGCCCCCAGCCCGAGTCGCACGTTCGGAATAATGTGCACATAGAGATGGTATCGCATGTACGGGCTCAGCAAGTTTACACTGGGTACCCAGCTCGATCGATGGGGCGAATGGATAAACTCAAGCTTCGTTGATGCCGATGAGTTAATAATGGCTTGCATATCCGCGGCGGACAGGACCAAGCGATCCCACTCGTCAACGAAGCGAGCTTTTTGGTGTCGAGCGCGCTGAAGACGTCGAGTCAAATCCGCTAGGTAGCGCTCAGTGATAACGGCAGGAACCGTGCCGGGACCATCCGCCTGTTCCAAGAATCCCGAACGCAGCTCAGGCGAGTTCGCTGTCTCTGCCAACTCTTCAATCCACTCCTGGAAATCGCGAGCGGTACCTGTTTTACGGCGCTGGAGCTGGGCAACCTGTGACTCCAAGCTTTCAAGGTCATTGATCGCGTCCATCAAGCGGTCATGTAGCTTCGGTGCATGGGATTGGATTCTCCGCAGTCGACCACTGACGTTGGCGTTACGGAAGAGAGTGCGGGGAATGGAAACAAGTCCGTGACCCATGAGGTAGATAGCCAGGACAAGACCCCAGACGTAGGCAAGAGCCATCACGAGTGTCTTGATGGAGGTAAACTCGAATCCATTTTGGATTGAGATGTAGATTAGTCCGACCGTCGCACAGCATAGAACAATCAGTTGGTATCGCGCATTCGAACGGATGGAGTATTGGATGCGACCCTTCGGTTCACGGTAGCCCGAATCAATGTATTCTCCAAGCAAAGGAAGGATGGCCCTGCAGCGATAGGAAGCAAATCAGTATTCATCAGAAACATGAGAATCGCGACCGGCCAAGTAGCGCTGCACATCACCTACCATGTTAGCACAAAGATAAGCCAGTAGGCAATGCGCCAGGAAACCAGAATTAGACGGTCGGGCAGCCAGATGGCCGTGGGTCCTCCCCCATCACGCGAGCTGGATGCTAGGTCGATAGGGACCAAAAGTACGACACTGGCCGGAAGCGCGAGCGCAAGGAAGACGGGAATGGAAAGGTAAGCCGGAGTAGCGCGGAGCGTAAGAAAGCGTCGCAAAAGCAGGAGAACGAGGACAGAGATCGTGAGCAGAGCCAAGGTAAAGAAGATGCTGGACCCGACGGGAACAGGCGAGGTGGAAATCATGGCGATTATGGGGGGTCGTTTGACATACGGCAGTGGACGAGGCAAGTACGGGGAAATAATCCAGGGTCTTTGGTCGATTGGATCAGTCAATCAATAATCATCGTAGGTCAACTAAAAGAGGGACTATCGACCCAAGGATCGAGGGGTCGCAGGAGCATGCAGGAAGGTTCGAGTTCGGAAAGGACGCAAAAAAAAGGACAGGACTTCGGGAGGGACGATTTGATCGGGCTGGTTATGGAAACGAGGCCTGTTTTATGGATCATCTCATTTCCCAGACCTCGTCGTTGTTGGTCGATGCTAATCAAAGGGCATCCATCCGGTGACGACAGCACCCGCATCACGTGCCATCACCTGACGTGTCCCGCTGCTAAAAGAAGCAACAGCGGGCGAGTAAGGTAGCCTTTAGTCAGGTTCCACTTGGCTCTGCCTTTTTCCCGCATTCGACACTAGGTACGGATCACGGTGCCTGCGATCTACGAGAATGGCCCTCCGTGCCTATTCTTATTCTTTATGATGGTTATTATCAGTGTGACTATCCCAATCATCCTGCGCATTGCTTTTGTCGATGGCCTAATGGTCTAGGGAGCCCGATATCTCTGGAAGACCGAGCCTTTGAGGCACCGCGTGTTTCAGCCGCCGGTTTTCCTACCAACACTGTCCCTCTCGCGTCTTGAGCTTAAAGGCACGCCTTACCTCCATACCCGCCACCCGAACTCTGTCCATGGGACTTGACTCCGTATACCCGCATTAAAAAACTAAATTCAAAGCACGCACGTCTGGGCCTATGGAGAGAGCGGCGATTTCAGCATCCAGAGGTTCTCATGTGTAGAAACGGGGTATGGATATGGCAGAGCGATAGGTGGCTGGATCGTAAACTGGCTGCAAAAGGATCGGAAGGGGGAGGCAGCATTGACACCCGCGACCTTGGTGGTACGGCGGATTGGCAGATGGTCATGGCTTCTATTCGCGCATCGGAACTGACTACTATTCCTTTGGCCTCCCGCCTACGGGCACTATCTACTTAGGTGCGATGTCTGCAAGGCAGAGACTGTCTTTATTGAGCTAGCAGTGGATAGACCGGAAAGCACCAACCGGAACGTAAGATCAAGGACGAAGTACCTCAGACAGGTACACTCATCACCGAAAATCCATCAATTTCAATATTTTCTCGAATACAACCGACGCACACTATCTCTATACATGCCTGGTTGAATTAATCTATCGCGAACACGCTCTTCAGCATTATCGAAAGAAGAATAATAGGCTCCTGAGCAGCAGCATCGCAGTCCTTCAGCCCACCCCTCTATAATATTAGCACGAATTACTAGTCTCTGGTTAGGCTATCGTCCCGCGGAACCAGAGGGTTGTCAGTGGGGCAGGGAGTACACGCGCCTCTAGAAAGTCCGATTGAGTAGCGGTAGGAAAGATGGATGGAACCAGGCAGCCGCTTTCGTAGGAGTAGTACTATAGGGGACGGGAATCCATCTGGTGTGCTACTTCTCTGACTCGGTAGGTATTTCTCTCAATCCGAGAACATGCCAATCAAATACGAAGGCATTGAGACGAGAGAGCTTCTCCGGCGCATATTGGTGGACCTGGGGACTGCCGGTAGGATGAAAGTAGGTAGTCCGTGGGTATCGACCCTGTGCGGGAATCGCGACCATTGGAAGAGGAAAAAGAAAAGACGAGAAAAGAAAGAAAAGCACGAAGCATTAATTCGATCCGGAAGGCCTGCGAAACCAACAGTTCTTGGCCTGACAGACCTTGCGTCCCTTTCAGCCAGTCACCCGGACCAGGCCATTACGGTACTAGTTGGTTAGTTGTTGCTGTAGTAGTAGTCGTAGTAGTAGTAGTAGTAGTAGTAGTAGTAGTAGTAGTAGTAGTAGTAGTAGTAGTAGTAGTAGTAGTCAGTCAGTCAGTCAGTCCGGCAGTCCGAGTCAGTCATGAATGCCAGAAGATGGCCCGCTTCGGGGTCCCCAGCTGCCGCCGTCATTCTCATCTAGATGTCCTATGAGAAGGAGATGAATAGTAATAGTAATAATAATAATAATGATTATTATTATCCTCATCCACCATTATTTAGTAAACTGGGACCTACTTAAGTAGATAGTACCTAAGTACCTACCTACCTAGCTCCTACCGACGGCAAGTGTACCTAGCAGGCAGCCCACTCTGGGCCTACGGCAGTAGGTAGTTGCCCACTTGGTGCTAGTGGAGGGACTAATTAAGTTTCCCTAACCTTGCCCGACTGACGACCACCACCAACGGGCAGATCCCCAAGAAGGGCCTGGGAAGTCTAGTACCTGTTAGTCTGTTCACGTCGGCCACACTAACCCAAACTCGCGCCTTAGGCCACCACCACCACGGCACCACCACCACCACCAAAGCAGCGGCGCATCCATCCATTACCTTACCGTTACCACCACTCACCACCACCACCACTGCCACTTCCACTTCCACCTCCCGATCTCTCCCTCCCTCTCTCTCCCCTTCAAGCGGGATCTTCAACTTCTCTTGCCTGGTCCTCCTCTTCATCCTCCTCCCACCTTCAATCTCCCTCTTCCCCCCCCCTCCCCTTTGTTACCCATATATTGGGATTTGTTGCGGCCATTAACTGCTGCTTTTAGATTTCCTTCCTTTCATTTCTTTTTTTACCACCCAATTTACCTTCTTCATAGCCCGGCTTTTCCTCCCTGCTTAGTCTAATTCCTGGTTTCGCAACCTCCGCCTTTCGAGCCCTCTCTTTACGACTCGGGTCCTCAGACTGATTCCTCCTGCGATTTCCTTTCTCATTAACCACCTGCTCTCATTTGGAATTCTTCCTATTCTTTTCACCCTTCTTCTTCTTCTTCTTCTTATTCTGTTGCTGCTACTTGTTTCCTTTTCTACAACCTGCTTTGTCCAATCCTCCCCCTCCAGCTGACACGCTTGTCGAACACGCCACCGTGCAGCTGTTATCGGTTACCTGTCTTACTGTAAACCCAGGTATGATGATCTCCTTCTCGACCTCTAGCGCCCTCCTCTTCCGACCGTTCGGCTTTTTGCGCACTTCTGCATTCACTGCCAAACCAGATCACTGGGAACCACTGCTTGTTGGATGCTTGGCTCCCGCTTGCTTTTCTGCCGTAATTTATTAATATTATTCCCTGAAGACCATCATCCTGACTTGTTCCTCTTTTTTCCCTCCTAGGATCCCGAGGTCGCTTGTCATTTCCTCCGTCCTGTCACCTATTCTATCCGCCTTCCAACTCTTGGGGCCCGGGAAGCTCCATAATCGTCGATTCGAACGGCTCTGCACTAACTGGCCCAGTGCAACTGCAACATCCCTGTCACTGATCCAGCACCCGCCGGCTCAATCCTGCTTAGTCTTACTCTCCCCCAAGCCACACTCCCCGGGTATCTGCCAACGAAAGCGCTTTGACTGAACACTGGTGCCCGAACGCCTTGTTTCCCTGCTGCGTTGGTCCCCCCGTGTTCTACTGCCGTCCCGTGCTGGTTCCCTATTGCTCGTCCTCCTTCGTTTCAAACACCTACTTGGAATTACAGCGAAGCCGACTCCGCTACCAGCTCAAGTCTCAAACGCGATCCACCTGCGAGACTCCCTGCATCGTTATCTATCTTCCTCTCTTGCCCCAGGCCCCACCGCCCATCCATCCCACATATCACTAGCACCGACCACGCTGCTGGGAGAGCGCCCGTCTGCTTTTAATCCGAACAACTTTCTATCGCAAATCGTGACGCTTGGCATTGACGCCGGCGAATGCTGACACCCAACGAAGCTTGCGCGGACTACTCCTCGATCCCCATTGAGGGGGGTTGTTGACATGAATCCGGCAAACTTCACCAATGTTGGCGGGGGCATGAACGGCGGAGTCAAGCCGCATGGCCAGATGCAGCTTCCGCAGAAGGCGGAAAACAATTCAATAATCCTCAGTCAAGTCGCCCAGGCGCTGCAGGCACAGGGCCAGTATTCGGGTTGGCGAGCGGATGTCCCTGTCAGGGAGCGAGCCCTCAAGGTCTATCAAATGTAAGTTCTCGTTATACGAACCCTTCCGGTCTCTAGCCGTACGCTAGAGGTGTGATCTAACACTATCGCACCGCTCCCTCTTCCGCCAGCCGAATCGACTTTGGTCCTTGCGCTAACTCCCCTCCTTCTAGGATCACCTCCCTTCGTCTAATCCAACCCCGGATCGACATGCAGAATGCTGCGCATGCGGCACTGACTTTTGAACAGAAGGCGTTTAAAGATGCTAGCCAGAAGGTACGTGCCGATGGCTCTCTTTGCGTTGTGCCGGTCTAACTACGGTATCGTTCAGGCCGATTACGAAAGGGAATGCAATGAAAAGCTCCTCCACATCCGGGATACTCGTGCGAGGCAGGCGGCTGTGATGCAAGGTGGGATGATGCCCCAAGGGCCAGCAGCGGGAATGCCCGGGGTCGGACAGCCGCAATTTGCCCCCCAAATGAATCGTCCCGTGCAAGCATCGCCGATGTCTGGACAACAACAAATGTCGATGGGCATGGGCGACCTTAGCCAACAATCTGCTATGCAACAACGCCAACAACAGCAGCCGCACCAAAACGTACTACAGCAACAACAACAACAGCAACAACAGCAACAACAGCAACAACAGCAACAACAGCAACAACAGCAACAACAGCAACAACAACAACAACGCCCACAACAAAGGCCGGGTGGCGCGGCAGCGCTTTCGGACGACTTAAACACCCTTTCCGCGCAGGAGTATGATCAAGTCTGTCGCATAGCCGCTCAAATCATCTCGAAAACCTCTCCAGAGGACCTTGATAAGATCAAGATAAATTTGCAGAACATGACACCAGAACAACGAGGGTACTTGCAAAGGAAGAACATGGACCCAATCACCTATTTCTTTCGCTCACAGGCTCTCACCCAGTTGAAGAGGTACAAGCGGACCCGGAACGATCTAAACCGCCCGCCAGGTGCTGGGGTTGACCCTAACAGTGCCATGCTAGGCGACCCTGTGCTGAACACACAACGGCAAATGTTCCAGAATATGATAAACCTGCAACGGAACTCTTTTTCGATGGGGAACCAGCAAAATTTGGATCCGTCGTCCTTTATTGGTAATGTTGAGAACATCCAGGGGCAGCAAGCCGATGGGCTACGCTCTCAGGAAGCAGGCCAGCTTGTGGTCCCTGCTAGCTCCTCTCAGATGAACCAACCGCCGTTCACGACGCCGCAAAATATGTTCCAGGTTGGACAGCAGCTTGGCCAGGGCTCGCAAGCAAATATGAACGGCTCTGGTATAAGCCCTCAGTTTCTTGCCCAGCAGCATGTACAGAATGCACAGAGTATGCCGCAAGATAGACCTCAACAAGCATCTCAATTTCAAGCGCAGCCACAGGCACAATCTCAGTCAGCCCAAGACCAAGCACGGGTGCAAGCAGCAGCAAAGGTCCAATTTGCCATGTCTCATCAAAATCAACCTGGCGCGCGAATGCAACATCAAATGTCACAACAAAGCCCGGCTATGCCGATGTTGAATCGACCAATGGCCCCAGGGCAGATGTCTCCGGCACAAGTAGCGGCTCAAGTCCGGCCCCCATCCCGACAGCCAGGCATGGGACAGCAGCCTACCAACGTTCAATCTATCAATGGACAGCCGCCTATGCAAAGACCTCAGATTCCTCCTAACCTCCCGCCGGCAGTCCAAGAGCAGCTCGGTCAAATGACCAATGAACAGTTGACCATTTTCATGCTGAACCAACATCGTCGTGCGATGGCCAACAATCAGGCTTTAGCTAGGGCAAGCGCTTCGCAACAATCGATGCCCATGCAACAAACCCCATCCCAGTCCAGCCAAGGACAGCAGATGGTCAATGGCCAGATGATGAACGGTCAGATGGCAAATGGTCAGAACCTGCGGGCTTCTCTGAATCTGCAACAGCAGCTTGCGTCCATGAGCGGTGCCCAACCGCCTAATCAGATGTTGCCAGGACAGATGTCCGTCCAACAGCGCCAGCAGCAGCAGCAGCAGCAGCAGCGTCAGCAAGATCTCTACAAGCTTCAGCTACTTCGTCAGCATAGCGGAGGAATGGAAATGTCTTCGGACCAGGTGAAAGAGATGGATCGATTGCATTTCCCTCCAGCGATCCTGCACAATAATCCGAGCATCTCATCGGCTGTACCCAAACACATCAAAACCTGGGGTCAACTGAAACAGTTGGCAGCTACAAATCCGCAGCTGTTGGGGGGCGTCGACATCTCCAAGCTAATGGCGCTACAGAAGCTTCATCTTGCGCAGATCCTCGCCCAATCAAAAGAAAACGCTCGCAACCCTGAACAGACTGGACAGGGTCCCTGGATGCCAATGCCGTTCCAGGGGCAGCCGCAGCCATTGATGAACCCACAGCTTCAACCTGGTCAGCAACAGATGCCAATGAATTTGCCTATTATGCGACCCATCAGTGCGCAGGATATCCAATTGGCCCGTCAACGTTTAGGCACTCAGGTACAGAACTTGAGCGACGAACAGCTCCGAGAGTTACTCCACCGTAACAGACAGAAGCAGATTCAGGCGGCCCAGAATCGAGCGGCACAGGCTCTTGCGGCCCAACAGGCTCAACAAACCCAGCCGGCACCACAGCCCCCGGTAACTGTGGCGTCTACTATGTCTCAAGCTAAACCGGAGTCGCAACCCTCCCAACAAACGGCGCAGCAGCCCCAGCAAAATTTGACGGCAAAGACCCAGGCTCAGACTGCATCAGCTGGGAAGAGCGCTAAAGGACCCGTTGCAAAACAATCGCTGAAGAGAAAGGGGCAACATGACGATCCTGCCGAACCTCAGGCGACACCCGCGCAAAAGCCGGTTCAGCCTACAGCAGGGTCAACCCCTGCACAGGTTCGGCCAAATATGTTCATCACTCGTGAGCAAGTGGCTGCTATGACTCCCCAGCAACGCGCACAATTCGAAGCACACGTACGCAGGCAGCAACTTCAGAGCCGCGGCGGCTCCATAAGCAGAGCGTCCGCGGAAGAGGCGTGGAATAACTTGCCCGAAAGGTTCAGGCAGATGTACAATGAGATATCAAGAAATCTGCCTCCAATAGAGCCGGTTGCCATAACGCCAGAGCAGAAGACGACCATGTCCCAGCAACTCCGGGATATCACTGATTATCTAGGTAGAATGGATGCGCTTGTGCAATTCATCGCTAAGATTCCCGGCCAAGACAAAAATGTGCGCAGCCTGCTTGGAATGGTAAGTCTCGAGCGCTCTTTGCTGTATCGATAATAGTTCTGAAGATCAATACTGACTGCAACGCAGCGGATCCATTTGATGAGGCAATTCAAAGCTGGGCCTGAATGGACTCTCAATGATCAAATCACGCTTACGCCAGATTATCTTTCGGGTACCACCAATTATATAAAGAAGCTGTTCCACCATATGATTGCGCGCGTCAATCAACAGCAAAATCAGGTACCAGGCTCACGACCGAGCGTCTCCCAGGGAGCATCTGCACAGCCAAACCAGCCCAACATGCCGGCCTTGAACGCGAGCAATCTGCAACAACTGCAACAGCAGGAGGAAGCACTTCAACGGGCCCGCAGAGCCTCTAGCCAGACTGTTTCGGGCACTTCCGCCATTCCGCAAGCGCCGTTTGGAGCTCCCTCTCCCCAGGGTGTCCCTCATGCTTATGGACCGGGCAGCATTCCCCCGGAGCAACTGAAACTCCCCCCTCCGAAGAAACGAAAGCAGTCTCATGCTGGTGCTACACCAGCTCCCGGCACGCCGGCTTCCAAGGCACAGCTAATCAAGCAGGCCGATACAAGGTCGACTGGCGCGGCCTTGGCTGGTGCTTTCAAATGCAGTGCCCCCGAGTGTCAGAATAGTTATCAAAGCTTCGCGACTCAGAACGCATTGGACAAGCACACCGAAGAAGTCCACAAGATCGAGGAGACGATTGAAAACCCGTTGGAGTTTGCCCTGGAGAGTTTCCGGAACAGCCTCGTGAAAGAAGAAGATAAGAGTGGGCTGCAGGCCTTGAAGCATACTCCGCAGGTTGCCGGTAAACCCGGTACAATGTCGTCACCATCGAAGAACGAAGTCAAATTTGAGGCAGTCACTCCAGTGCCCAGCAGTGTAACTCCAATGGGGCGAGCTCCCAGCCAATTAGGCCCGAAGCCTAGTTCCCCGGCATCAAACCAGCAATTGACCCCTCGCACGTCTACGGCCAAAGCTCCCACGTCGTCGCCCCTCAAGCCAACCAGCAGCAAGGACGGTAAGAAGGAGCCGACAAAACCAGCCGAACAGGGGCCCTCTATGGATGCAGTTCCTCAGGATCCCTGGGCAAGCAGTACGGTCTCCCTTGATGCGATACAGGACACATTCATGGAGTTTGCCGATGATGGCGGCCTGGGATTCGGTGCCATGGACGAATTCCTGAACCCGGAGATGTTCATCAATACGCAAGCGAAGGATACGCCGGATTCCGTTGAGACCGGCCTCATTACCCAAACCCCGAAGGATAGTGAGCTTCCCAAAAGCGTGGATTTGACCGGCAAGAGAGATATGGCAGAAGACAGCTGGCTCCCTGCTGATTGGATCAGCTTCCCGGGTCGCCTGGAGGATGGGGTTCTGCTGAATGATTCATGGGAGGATGTCGACTGGGATATGATCGACCGCAAAGACGGGGCGATTAATGTGGACGATAGCGGCATTGCAATTTGCGCCTTATAGGGGGGTACAATTGTCACGAGCAGTGTTTATGATTTGAGCAGGCGAACGGCGTGCGGACTATCTCATTTGGCATAAACCACGAATGATTCCTGTACATTAAGCCGCGGAGGTTTTGTGTTTTCTGTCTCTGACTTGCTGAGTTTTACTAGCTGGATTCTGAGGCGAGGCGTTGCACGGAGCGAGTGAAAAAGGGGTCTTCTATGCAAGTAGCCCGGCGAGCAAGGCTCGGCCGGGTCGTTGAAACAGGCACAGCATGATGAGGCTCGGGATAACTGGATGTATCCTTGTCGGGTTTGATGCACGATCTACAATTAATTGCACACAACCTTGAGAACTATGCCGGGTATCTGTCGGTAATGTCGGTCATTGTCTGTAATTGTCCGTAAGGTGTATGGCAGTATGGAAACCCTTTGGTATGGTACCGCCCGTGACGGGGCCCGGGACGACCCACTGGAAACGGGGATCGGGGGTTCATCATCAACCTAAGCAAGTCACGGATCCCTGATCAGCTGCCGATAAGGTCGCCGCCTCGCGCTTGTCATTCGCCCATCCACATCCACCGCTCGCTCCCTCCTCCAGCATCCCCGTCTCCTCTTCTTCATCCTCCTCCTCTTTGTTCAAGGTTCCGTGTTTCCCCTCCGGTTCCAGGATGGGTGCTCAATAACTCTCGCATTCCTTGAATTTTAAATCAGTCCCCCGGCCTGGTTAGCTAGTTTCACTCCCGGTGCTCGTCTTATCAGTTATCTGTCCCCCTCGTGAGCCACTGAGTGGCCTCTCTACCTCGACTACCATCTCGCGTCCTCCCTTCCCCCCCATCTTTACCCAATCTATACCCCATAGACCCAGAATTTCAGGCACCATGGCGAATAAAGCGGCGGTTCCCTTCCTGGTCACGATGATGCTAGTGACGGGGGTTTGCAATACCATCCTCAACAAGTACCAGGTCCGACTCCCGGCTGCCGTATCTGGCGCCTTTCGGCTCACAGGATAGACAGGACATGCAATGTGTGTGGAATTGCGATTCACCAAACCCCAAATACCGTCGCACCTTCGAGCAGCCCGTCATTCAAACGTAGGTGCTCCACTCCTGGACTCTAGCATGGAAACTGTTACTCATGCACCCCCCTTCACGGCAGGATCCAGATGTTCACCGGAGAAATGGGTAGCTGGCTGGTAATCCTTGGGACCTATCTTTACCAACGTTATATTGCTCCGCGTATGTCCAACAGTTCTTCCCCTCTCTTGGCTGGTGGCTATCGTCCTGTCAACGCAGCGGAGGGATTTGACGAGGAGGAGGATTACACGATTCGAGGACCCGAAGCATCGGATGATGCCACGAAGCCCTCTACGTCCCCGGACGGGCGCATCCCCCTCCAAGGGCGCAAGATCTTCATGCTTGCAGCACCAGCATGTTGCGATATCGCTGGCACGACTCTCATGAACGTCGGGTTGCTCTTTGTCGCTGCAAGTGTCTACCAGATGACTCGTGGCGCCCTAGTTTTGTTTGTTGGTCTCTTTAGCGTCCTTTTCCTCCACCGCAAGCTCCATCTCTACCATTGGCTTGCCCTATTCATCGTGGTTCTCGGTGTTGCTTTGGTTGGTCTTGCTGGTGCCCTCTTCAGTGACCACCAAGGTCACGATGTCTCACAAGAGAGTACTGCCGCCACCGTGGCACACGCCATCAGGGAAGTCCAAGCCACGACGCAATCTCCGCAAGCGGTACAAGCCATCATTGGTGTGCTCCTTATAGCCGCAGCTCAGATCTTCACCGCCTCGCAATTCGTCTTGGAAGAGTGGATCTTAGAGAATTATGAGATGGACCCTCTCCAGGTTGTTGGTTGGGAGGGGATCTTCGGGTTCTCTGTGACCGTTATTGGCTCCATCATCTTGTACCTGGTTGTAGGCCGCACTGAGGCTGGTCGCTACGGCTACTTCGATGCAAAGGAAGGATGGAGCCAGGTTTTCAACAACCGAGCAATTGCTATGTCCAGCTTCTTAATCATGATCAGCATTGGGTAGGTCCCTTCTCACCTTCGCCTCCACCGCTATTCGCGCTATACATACTAACTCGCTACCCTAGCGGCTTCAACTTCTTCGGTCTTTCCGTCACCCGCACCGTATCTGCTACCTCTCGCAGCACGATCGACACATGCCGGACCCTCTTCATCTGGCTCGTCTCCCTCGCCCTAGGCTGGGAAACCTTCAAGTGGCTGCAAGTTGCCGGTTTCGCACTCCTCGTTTACGGAACCTTCCTGTTCAACGAGATTGTCCGGCCACCGCTCAAGGCCTGTCTTCCCAGCTCTCACCGGGATCGAGAAATTCTTCTTCCCGAAGAGCCGATTGAGCATATGTAAGTTTGACTCATCCGTCTAGCCAAATCAACAACGAGCGTCCCACCACCGCCCACCTGCATAGGTGATATGGCGTCTATCCTTGATGGATCAGACTTTTATACAACATGACATACCATTCCAATCACCTATGATTCACTACATGAGCTACTGCTTCTCCGACTTTTTTGCTTTGATCTCACTCTCGCAATATATATGCTTTGAGGATCGGAACGGGGGCCTTTCTCCATGGCGTTTTGGATTTTGCTGTTGCTCTTGGATACAAACTGGCAAATAGAGAGGCTGCGACTGTTTCTGTGAAACAACGAACAATTTAGTTATTCTTGCGTTGCTTGGAGTTTCTAGGTCATTATTGGAGTCGCTTGGGGTTGTTTATTTCTATTGTATCAGCAATAAGGTAGAAAATTCCCAAGATATCTCTATAGTATAGCTTCCTGCAGCTAATTCTATCTAGTAGTAGCTGCTTGGCGCATGCAACTCCCCCTCTTTTTAGATATGTTCCCTTTGTTTATTCTAACCCCCCCCCCCGGTCTAGCGAGCGCTATACATGCCTGTGCGTATACAAACATAATAGTAGTCAAGTAGTAGTATGATAACCCCTCTAATGCAGAATCCCCACAAAACAAGAAAACGACCCAATGAAATAAGGTGCAAAAAGACACCCGCGGATATACAATGCCAAAACAACCAGGGTATAAATTATGGCAGTATGTAGTGGTGGACGACAAGTACAACAATGTACTTCAACATGGTATGATACAAACCGGAGCACAAAGGTGCGGAGGAATATCCAGGGCTGATCTTCCGGTTATTCCGCGTCGTTTTCAGACGAGGACGTAAAGGGCACACATCTGTTAGAATTAGCAGGAATTCCACTGGAATATAGTGGAGCTGGCTTACCAATGATAGTCCGAATATCATAGATAGCCAGAAGAATACATTCTGTAAAGTCACACAAGTTAGGATACACTGTTGGGGATTTGCTTTTGGGAGGTGTAGAGCTTGGGACATACATTGAGAGTGGTCTTTCCTCGGACATATTTGGACTTCTGCACCGCAACGATAGGCAGCTGGAGCATCATCGCAAGGAATCCGTAGCCGCGGAGCTTCTTGGTGATGCAGCTCATGACTAGTTCGTGCGCGATGGCACTGACCAGGAAAGTGATGAACATGGCGACGGGTTTGGAGAAATTCGATAGGGAGGGAAAATATACGTGGCGGCGGAGGAAGTGGTGGACGGGGATGTTCCATTCGCGCGAAAATTCGAGCCTGATAGCACGTTAGCCTGTATTGACAAGAGTGGTTTTGCAGGCATCTGTCACTAACCAATCGCATGAATTCCACCAGTCCGAGTAGAAGTGCCGATCAGCGAAGCAGGTGAGCCCCGCAAAAGCACCTAGGACGTATTCGAATATCACGAGGAAGACAAGCAGGAAGGTGATCATGAAAGGGAACAGGAGCATGCTGATGGTTTCTGCAAGGATCAATGCCTTTTCAGTCACACTGGATACCATGTGCAATTGAATGTTGGCTTCCGTCAGGACAGGCAGAATGAACTCTTCGCTTGTCAATGTCAATAGGAAGATGCAACCAAAGATAGCCAGAGTCTTCAGGCCAATTTCGATCCATTGTCTGTCCTTGCTCCGAGGGTATTCCAGCTCGTAGCAGAGGGTGGGGCAGCATATGAAGTCGATGTAGTTGAGTATCGTGAGATTCTGAGGGTACGTGACGTTGCCCATTGGCGAGGTGAGTTCCGTGGCCAAGTCCTCGCGCAGTTCAGAAATCGACTCGGAGCGCACATGGAGGCTCGAACGCCGGGCTACCGAGCGTCGGCGGGGAGATGCGTCTGGGTACGGGACTGGTGCTTCCATTGACACTTTTCCCGGTTTGTCGAGCGAAGCCAGTCGACGCTCTGTCTCGCTGAGATGGCCGTTGTAGAATGCGTAGGAGTGGATCTTCATTAGGATGGTCAATGTGTGGAGGGTGAAGAAGACCTGGGCCGTCCAGGTCCAACGAAGCATGAATGGCCAACTGTGATTTGGTTAGCTTCTGGGTCTCAGCCGAAGGTACAGCTAGATTTTCCAGCTTACTTGATCCATAGAATTGCCCAGCCCGCTTCAAGGGTGCTCTGCACAACCATACCACCCCTTCCCCAGCGCATCAATCCACCGCTTCTCCTTATGAGGCGGTGGAGAGGCAAGACCACCGCGCTGCTGACCACCATTGCCACGTCACTGAAGCCCATTGACCAGACATTTTCCGACAAAAGGCTCCATACTCTGATCCTCAACGGGTAGCCCGTATCCTTTATATTCCGAAGCATTGTCGTAACGACCATTATAAACAAGGCAATCCAAAACAGGGTATAGAAGCCGCGGAAATTGCGGTAATCGCTTCTCGGGTCGAAATGAGATACCCGAGGAACATAATCAATTGTATAGAAGATCCGAGTCCGGGCTCGAGCTTGTTTTCTCGCCGTGGAGATTGAATGTACGGAGGGAGGCGCATCGTCAGGGACCGGAGTCGAGCGGCCGCTAGTAACTGCAGTTAGTTCTGGCACCGATAATTCTCCTCTTGGTGTGGATGGACTTACCTCGAATCGAATTTATCCAAGGGAGGAATCGCTGTCAAATCCTCTAGCTTCTTCGTCCCCGGGACAGCACGGGGACGTAGTAAAGGGGAGCCATTGGCTTGTTGAACGGCCGAAGACATGCTGTGGACAGGAACAAAAACAATAGGGGTATTCGCCGGTTCACATGGATCCAAGGAACCGGACAGGGGGTACTCCAACCGTCTTATAGATAGATAGAAGCTGACGCATGCAGAAGGCTGACACGGACAAGAAGGGGGGATATGCTGGGGGGTTGATGTGGATCCTATAGACACTATGACCGTGGTCTGTTAAGGCTGGCTCGTGCAGAGACCGACCAACGAAACGAATACGAAACTCCGCTCAGGCACAAGACAATCAGGCATGGAGGCGTAGGTAGGTCGGAGATCTTATGGGGGCGACGGCATCAGCTGTACGAGGCAATTCATGCATGTAATAAGCCGGGTGACACCTAACGAACAAGGAGGGAAAGAAAGCCAATGGCGGTTGCAGGGGCAAGTATTTAGTAGTTCATGGGACATGGATGATGGATATGATCCGTTCAATGAAATCATACTTCTTTAAGGGAGCCGCTCCAGCCACTCCGCGTTGGCTTGTCCCACCATCAAAGTCACCTGTCCATTGTTTCACCGCCTGCCTCTCTAGGAAGATCACCTGGCTGATTCCCCAATGACGCAAGCCTCTTTACAGGCTTACAGCATTTAGGTAGATACTGTGTACTGTTAAGGCATGAAGAGCCGAGCGGAGGCCTTATGTGGGCCTCAGGCAGTATTTAAAGCGGGGAGGATTCTGCAGGTTAACCAATTTCGACCTATAGATTTGTCCTAGATAAGCAGGCGGTAATGCGTCTGGGCTGTACTGTGTACGGATAACCCCCGCTCTTCATCATGCCGTATGTTGCACAAGAATTAAGGACAGCTGCTCTAGGTATTTGAGCAGATCTAAAGGTCGCTACTCCCAGACAACCTGAAAAATTCTATCTCTATTTCTGTAGACATAGAGCTTGGGTTGTGGCAATCCCAGGTCCTGCACTGTTCAACTTACCACGATGTATATATCGGAGCCAGTGCAATGTGGGGACCGCCCAGGACAGCGAGTCGTGCGTGCTAAGTACAGACTGTCTTTGACTTCCACTAAGACCACTCACAGAGGTCCTCAGGAGACTCGCATATTTATTGTCATAATTCTATTGATTTTTTCCATTTAGATTCGCCGACGCACAACATATTTCCAGCCGACAAACGCCTTGAGCGTCCGGATATATCATGACCATAACGCCATTCCGCTTCATTCGATTTTAAAGACATCACAAGCCCTACGCTCCAACCTGCTCGGAGGAGCACGGGGCGGGGGAGAAAAAAAAACTAGAACCAGATCTTAATCAACTCCTCACTGACCGCACTTGGCGTCAAAACGCCGCTGTCCGTAATCAGCGCGGAAATGAGATGAGGCGGGGTGAAGTCAACCACATCAGCGCTGTCCGCCGAGTTGACGGCCTTAACATCCGATGCCTTTTGTTGCTTTGCCTCGTCGGCAACATCTTCCTCGGTCTTGAAATCAATCACACGTTGCTCAATAGGCAGATCATACTGTCCGAGCGGGTAGATACGGACGAACTTGTGGCTTTCTGCCACCACGTAGAAAGGCTTGCCCATAGCCTTAGCGAGAAGACCGATCTGGTAGGTTCCCATTCGCGACACGATTCCTCCGTTCTCGACCACACCCTCGGCACCCACGATGACAATATCGGCCTTCCCCATGGCGTATGCAACAGCGGACTCTGGGATCGTAGATACAGGAACGCCCTTCGCCCGGAGTGCACGCACCGTTTCCATGCCCTCCGGTTCGCCGGAGTTACCAGCAGTCCTCTTTGCAGATGACAGGACGTAGATGACCTTGAACCGGACTGCCGACGGGCCGCCCTTCTCGTCAGCCGCCTTCTTTAGCAACGAAGCGACAACACGCGATCCACCGTTCGTCAAAACGGTGCTTCCATCCCGCACGAATCCTCTTCCAAACGCCGCGATCTTGTCTCGACTCTCCTTCGCACGTCTGATGAACAACCGGCCGTTTGACAGAAGGTGTGCCCTAATTGCGTTGAAATCTCCCGCAGGTCCTAGTTGACCAGGTCTCTGCAAGGTAGTGATCAGGTATCGCTGGAAGAGATCGGTTCCGGCAGAAAGACCGATAGGGTTCGGAATCGACTGTTTGAGGTGTGCGGTGGATTTCTCGAGCAGATCGAGTGTCTCTGATATCGTCGACGAGGGGGAGTGTGTAAGAAGGAGAACCAAAGCTTCAATAGCCGCAATTGGCATGGTCAGATCCGGATCGGAGCGAAGCAAGTCATTGTAAGTTGCGACAATGCTGGCGAAGGATGAACATTAGCGATTACAAAGGCAGGAAGTCCTTGGAAGAGGTAGCTTACTCGAACGGCTTGGCGTCCGACGAGCCTGATGTAGGAGCTGCCATGATGTCTGAAATGGCTGTGCAGCTGTAAGATGCTAGCAGGGGAGCTTCTTGATGACAGCGATAGCTCTCTCTGTGTTTCTCTCGTTCAGCAGTAATTCCGCCGCGGCCGCCGCAAAGAGTCATCGAAAAAGGGAAGCGTGGAGTAAGTTTGCACTGTTTGCTCTCAGTGCCCCTCCCCGACAGCGCTAGTCCGCTTCTGGTTGCCATGCGAGTCCTGCGCAGTAAACAATCATCATAACATTCATCAAGCTGGCACCCAACTCGCCACCACACTGCATTGATCGTATCGGAGGCATCTGAGATCTAGTACTATAACTCGGATTGCGCGAAACTATGGCGTACAGCCATCGAATGAGCCAGCAGTTCCATGGCTCCCAGCAACACCACAATAGAGGCCGCAAGAAGGAGGATGAGAATGATGCTCTTATGCGCCTGGTTAGTTCACGGCGGAATGAGGGCTTCCACCCACAAGATCTGTATGGAGCTCTAATGATGCCAGTAGCCCGACAAGGAAATCGCAGGATGCATCAACGATATCGGCATCCCTTTCACCGCCGCTGACTTGATCAAGCCAAACCCGCAACAGATCCAGATGGTCTTCGAATGGTTTGCAGAGCTCCTGATGAATATGACACGCGAAACGGTAGAGCCGGCGATGCGTGCAGCGGCGGACGATATTTGCGGTGACTACCCCGACATAGTACCAACGGACACACGCAATCTCATGGGGTTCTTTACCAGTCTACGGCGGTTGATGATGGAGGTATGTCTGGGCTCGATTGTTTTAAGAGCTTGGTGCGACTAGCCACGTCTAACATGCATGTATGAGCTATAGTGCGGTGTAAACGACTTCACATTTACCGATCTCACGAAACCTACTCATGATCGACTCGTCAAGATATTTTCGTACCTCATCAACTTTGTCAGATTTCGCGAATCCCAAACTCCCGTCATTGATGAGCATTTCAACAAGGCGGAGAAGACGAAATCGCGCATCGATACTCTATTCGCAGAGAATCAGGAGATGGAGCAGCGTCTCGAGGAGATGCGGCGGACTCTGAAGGCCAACGAAGCACAGGTTAAAGATAAGGTCCGACGGAACGACGAGTTGAAAGCGCGGCTGCTTGAGTTGAGACGGAACCAGGAGCGGGTGGCCGAGACATTGGAGCGAGCCAAGGCGGATAAGGCGAGACGGCAGGCGCAGCTCGAGGAAAAAACAGAAAAAGTCGTTCGTACGCGGCAAGAAGTTGAGAAACTACGTCCGTATGTCATGGAGAGTCCAATCTCTCTTCAGTCCTCTCTTACCGAACTCTCGGAGAATCTACTTCGTGAGAAGGCCCAGATCGATGCGATGGAGAAACGAGCGAGAGCTCTGCAAACGTCATCAGATACGTTCACTGTTGTTAGCAACGATGTGCAAGCTTGTGTGCGACTTCTTGAAGACATATCTGTGGAGCTGCAAAAGGAAGACGATGAGGAATCAAGGGCCTCCAGGAACAGAGAAGCAATCTCCGAGCGGGGAAATAATGTTAGGGAGGTGGAGCAGACCGAGAAATTGCTCCAGCGGCAGCTGGCACGGTGGCATGAAAGGATTGAAGCCCTGCGGAAGAATGCGCAAGAAAAGGCAGAGACAGCACAGGGGCGAATGGAGGAGCTTCGGGAGGTTCAGAAACAGCTCCGTGAGGAGCGTGCTGAGAAGCAGCGTGACATGGAGAGGAGGAGGATCAGGATTGAACAAACTGAGAAGAAGGTAAAGTTCCTCGTGCCCTTCTCCTTCTGCACACTGCTGATATCTATATAGATGGCCGACCTCAAGGAGAACATTGAGAGCGAGATCCAAAGTGCTCACGATGAGTATTTGAAGTTGGAGTCGCATATCAAACTTTACATCACTGACATGGAAAAATGCTTATAATTTTGAGGGTTGTTACTGTCTCAATTCGGGAGTTTAGGGGGCTGGTTCAAGGATACCCGGTTGATTATGGGGGTTTACATTGTCGATATATTGTAGTACATATATGCTCGGCTGGCTTTAGCTGTGTCAATGCCTATTGTTTTACCTAGGAACAGTCAGATGTCTATGGTGTCTGTGACCGGATGCTCATTTTCGTTGAAGTCGAACCATCGTTCGACAACCCTTTTCACAGGCACTCCTCTCCGAAAGGAGGTGCTTTCCTCGCCAATTCGTACAGAGCCGTTCAAGAGGGGCACCTGTGTGTACCATAACACCTCGCCCCGTCCACTGTCCGCGGGATCTGCAGCGTCTCGACATTCGCAAAGGACAAGATCCATTTGCGCTCGAGAGGATACCTCCACCGCAAGAGCGAATGTTCTGGACAGACCTTGGGCAGAAAATTCCGAGGTAGACATATGTAAAGCTAGAGGGTTAAGAATGGCCACTAGAGGCCGCTTTGTCTGCCCCTCTTTGTCCGACACATTCTGGATGTTCTCCGGTGATTTCATCACTGACAAGTAAGCTCGAAGATGCTCCAACGTTGGACAGAAGATCAGCTTGATTCTTCTTGACTTGGAGAGCAATCCGATGGTTTTGGCAAGTATTCGGTGGCGTTTAACAGCCTCCGTTGGTTGCATATAAGAAGCGGCGAGTAATTGCTCTAGAAATAGCTCCCTCGTCGAACATACAAGTATCAAAGTTGAGGGCGCATCTTGACTGAGGATATGTTGTAGGAAGTCCGTGACCCAGTCACCAAAGTATATGCGCCGGACGGAGACTCTGGCCATGATGCGATTATTTTGTTGGAGATTCGGTGGCTAGATGACAGATAACCATGGTCGGTGCTATTCACAGGCCGATAGACTTAGAATGCTTAATCGGATGACCATGGCATATTGCAAACGAAATCGATAGCAAGTGGGATTAGCGGGCGTTGGAGGGACAGTCCGGCGTCGAGCACGTTACCCAATCGTCATGTCACCTGCCCGCCCGCCGCCGCGGAACTCCCCAACTTCCTCCTGCTCTGATCTGCTAGGGAATCCCCCTCATCAGGTCCAGTTCGCTACCGTGTCCGTGCAAAGGACCGAGGGCTCAAGATGGAGACTATCTCCAGGATATCCTCGATGCTGGAAACAGGTAACGTCGTCGCGGGCAGTTGCTTGCCAATTGTCCTCCGTGTTTGGGTAGATGAATTGGCTGATCGTGCGAGCAGCTCGAGAGCTCACCCTTGAAGCAGCCCAGTCTGCAGCCATGAGTAGGGGGACTAGTACCGGCTTATCGAATCGGAACCTGACTACATCCCACATCAAAAAGCTCCTGGATAGTCGCAATGACCGGGAGGTCTTGGACGGCATGCGCCGGGTGATTACGGTACGGACCTGACTTTCCTAGACACTGATGCATTGGCTAACCCCGCTTGCTTTTGGCGCTGCATAGCTGATGTACCGATCCGAACCGTCCCTTCCTTTCTTCTCTGCCGTTGTCAAAAACGTGGCTAGCGCGAATCTCGAGGTGAAGAAGTTGGTCTATATCTATCTGGTCCACCATGCGGAGGTGGAACCGGACCTTGCGCTCCTATCCATCAATGCAATCCAGAAGTCGCTTACTGACCAGAACCCCCACGCGCGGGCTATGGCGCTTCGCACAATGTCCGGGATCAGAGTGCCAGTCATCAGTCAGATTGTGTCGCTTGCAATCAAGAGAGGCTGCGGCGATATGAGCCCTCATGTCCGCAAAGCGGCAGCGCTGGCCATTCCCAAGTGTTATCGCCTCGACCCAAATACCCTCCCCCAACTCATTGGGTATCTCACTATTTTGCTCGGCGATACCCAGTATTTTGTTCTCGGACCTACGGTCGCCGCCTTCCTGGATGTTTGTCCGGACAGGATCGATCTCATTCATAAGCATTACCGGAGCCTCGTGAAGAAGCTCGTCGACATGGATGAATGGAGCCAGCTTTCAACGTTGCGCCTTTTAACTTTCTACTCTCGCAAGTGCTTCCCACTTAAGACCCAAAAAGGTAAACAGGCCGTGTCTGAAGGCTTCTATGAGGACGATGAGGCACCAGAGAGCAGCGGCGATGGTAACGCGCATGAAATGCTTGTGTTAGATCCTGATCTTGAGTTCTTCCTGCGTACTTGCAAGCTCTTGTTGCAGAATCGCAATTCTGCTGTTATCGTCAGTGTTGTCCGATGTTTCCTTTACCTCGGTACTCCAGAGTACCTTGATGCCGCCATTGGTCCCTTGGTTGCGCTGCTTCGGAGTCCGCAAGATACGCAACATGTCGCGCTTTACAATATTGTTGCCGTTGCATTAAAGCACCCTAAGCCGTTCACAAAATATGCGACACACTTTCTAGTCCACGCGGTAGACCCGCCTCATATTTGGCGTCTCAAGTTGGAAGTGCTCACGTTAATCTTCCCCCACTGCGGACTGCACTTGAAAGGTGTGATCCTGAGTGAACTTGAACATTTTTCACAAAGCGCAGATCCAGACCTAGTGCGGGAAAGCGTACGTGCCATAGGACGCTGCGCACAAAGTGATCCCAGAACTGCTGATCACTGTCTCTGCGTCCTTTTGGGCCAAATCACAAGTCTTGACGATAATCTTGTTGCGGAGTCACTGACTGTCGTCAGACATCTCATTCAGCAGGACCCACCTTCTCACGAGAAGACAGTCATTCAGCTTGTGAAGCATCTGGGTCTAATGAAGAATCCAGATGCTAGAGCAACGATTGTCTGGCTAGTCGGAGAATTTGCGGGCGTCGAGCCAGAGAGAAATATTGCGGCTGATATCCTCCGCATTCTGGTACAAGACTTTGCGAATGAATCAGAGGCTGTTAAGCAGCAAATTATCCTTCTCGGAGCTAAGGTTTATCTGCATCACCTGTTGCGAAACCCTCCCAAGGAGGCGCCCCCACCGGAGCCCAAGCCTGAGAGAATTATCAACGAGTGGACAGAGACTGAAGAGGACCAGAAAGAGGAAACCGGAGACGAAGAGAAACCGAGTGAGGAACCAGAGGAAGATCAAATGACTTTGCTCTGGCGGTACCTCCTACTTCTTGCTAGATATGACTCTTCTTACGATCTTCGCGACCGAGCCCGTCTATACAAGGCATTGCTTGCCTCTCCCTCTTCTACACAACTGGCTAACCTGCTCCTGCTTGCACCGAAGCCCGTTCCCCACGCCCCAAGCCCATCGGAGACGCGCAAAGATCTGCTGGTCGGCTCCTCGACCCTTGTCGTTGGCCCTGATGCTGGTATGCTTGGCTTGAAAGGCTATCAGAATATCCCAGACTGGGTTGAGTCGGGACAAGAGCCTGATCCTCGCCTCCGGGAGAATGAGATCAAGCCAGACTTCGCAGAGAAGTCTTCCATGACTGCGGGCAAGCGGCTTGACCGAGCCCTTAAAGACCATGAGACTAGCGTTGCAACTTCAAGCAGGCAACAGAATGGCCGGGTCGGAGCGGGTGGCTCCTCATCCAAAGGAAAGTCACTCGACGAATGGCTAGAAGAGGCCGAGACAGAAACCGAGGAAGAGACAGAGACAGAGGAAGAGGTGACTGACTCTGAGTACGAGGAGGTGACGGATGAAGAGGAAACGGACGAAGAGGAGGAGACAGATGAGGAGTATGAAACCGACTCGGAGGAGCATGAGCAGACTATGGGACTCTTGAAGCAGTGATACCCAGGATTAGGGATGAGGAGATGTGTATAGACTAGCTGCATAAATCGAAGATTATATATCTGCAAACCCGACATGGGCATACCGCTATGACTCGTTTTTTTACTCTAAACGGGCCTGGAATTTCAAGTAACACCAATTGAATTTCTAACTCAAATCAATGGCCATCAATGGCTCCATCCATTGATGAAAGAGCAGGCGGTGCCCTCCGGCAGAACGGGCAGGCGTCCCTCGGCAGGCTGGATGGGTTCGGGGTCGGGTCAATTTCTCTGGTTCGCTCCATCTCGCCCAGATTAAACCCAGATTCTCTCCTGACGATGGTCTGATCTCAGTGTGAACTCTCTGATACACTGTCTCCGATCTGCTGTCCCTGCGTCTAGATTTCGTTCTTCGCGCACAGGTCTCCAGTGAGGTGCACTCACCCTGCTCTAGGTGGACTGTCTGTTGGCCATGATGCGAGCTACTGCAGGAACCTCTCAGACAAACATACCCCTTCTCGAAATTACCCACCTACTGTTTAATCTCCGCTTGCAAGGACCGTCTGCCTGTCGTTGACTATTATTTTTGGGGCACGTGTGCACAACTTCAGGGTGAACCCTTGCACCCCTGTTCGTTATCATTGATCGCAACCAAATCCTCCACGCTGCGCGACTATATGAGAAATCTAGGTCTCAAATTGAGACATTATACTGTTCCGAAATGCCTGGGTTACCAGGTAAGTTCCGTCTTCTGTCAAAAGCCGCTCTCTTGTCCTTTGCGGGCTCTCATGATTGGGACAGCTAGTATCGACCTCGACGAGTGCATTGAGAGACTCTACCGCAAAGAGTTGCTGGCAGACTCGGTTATTGAAGCAATATGCGCCAAAGCGAAGGAGCTGTTGATGAAGGAAAGCAATGTGGTTCACATTGCAGCTCCAGTCACGGTGGTCGGAGATATCCACGGCCAATTCTTCGACATGATCGAGATATTCAAGATCGGCGGCTTTTGTCCGAACACGAATTACTTGTTTCTGGGTTAGTAGCTCGCGTGATATCATAATGGTGATGATGAGGAAGGGGGGAATAGGCGCCGATCCCCACACTCCGGTTATATGGCTGATGCTGACGGCGCTCTGTCTCAACTCAACAGGCGACTACGTGGATCGTGGATTGTTCAGCGTGGAGACGATCTCCCTTCTCGTTTGCTTGAAACTACGATACCCCCAGCGCGTTCATCTCATCCGCGGAAATCACGAGTCGCGCGGTGTGACACAGTCATACGGATTCTACACAGAGTGCGCGCGAAAGTACGGCAATGCCAATGTGTGGCATTACTTTACCGATATGTTCGATTTCCTGACCCTAAGTGTGGTCATCAATGACCAGATCTTCTGTGTGCATGGCGGACTTTCCCCGTCCATTCATTCCATCGATCAAATTAAGATAATTGATCGGTTCCGCGAAATCCCGCACGAGGGTCCCATGGCCGACCTGGTTTGGTCGGATCCCGATACCGAGCGGGATGAATTCTCCCTGTCGCCCCGTGGAGCAGGCTACACTTTCGGAGCGCAGGTGGTTCGCAAATTCCTCGAGGTCAATAGCATGTCGCATATCCTCCGAGCCCACCAGCTATGCCAAGAAGGATACCAGGTTCTCTATGATGACCGGCTCAGTACGGTCTGGAGTGCGCCGAACTACTGCTACCGGTGTGGCAATCTGGCTAGTGTTCTGGAGGTGAGCGACACGGGCGAGCGGTATTTCAACATCTTCGACGCCGCGCCGGAGAATGACATCCATCGTGGCGAACAACAGGCGCAGCAGAACAAGGACGGCCAAAGCCCTGTGATTGACTACTTTCTGTGATACCCTTGTTTTTTTGTCTCTTGCTTTTTCTTCCTTTTCTTGTCTTGTTACCCCTTCTTCATATCATTTGAGGATTTGCCTTTGGGAGTTTGGTAAATATCACCGCATTTATAGACAGCATCCAGGTGCGAGGTCTGATTTCAGATAGAATACAGTGCTCATTCACGAAGAGAGGGTGTGTTTCTGTTAGAAATTAGGCATTGTGACGCTCCGGCCACCACACGACCTTATCATCTGCCCCTTGAATATCTACACAACACGAGGCAGGTGCCTCCTATAAGTACCTACTAGTACTAGAACTAGTACCGAGGCCTCCTAGGAAGCCGGAGAAGGCCTATCAAAAGAACTAGTACCGCTCCCAAAATCTTGGCATTTCTGGCAAAGATATACAAACTACAAAGGCCCAGAATCTTACACTCTATGTCGACTTTTCTCTTCTCCAGGTTACCTAGATCTCGTGTATGGTACTTACTAAGTGACTTCACTGATTTTTACTGGCTCTTCACAGACATTGTCCCCGGGATGGAAAGTGAAGCGATTTATGAAGATAGATTGAATTACCCTAAAAACATAGTGACTTGTGTAAAATGTAACAAGTGTCTGTGTTTCGGGCCGAAAGTTTTGTGTGAATTTTTTGCTTTTCAATTTCGTCTTCCTTTCTTTGGCGTTTTGATTTATTATTGCGAATGTGGTTGGTGGCGAGAGACCATTTTTGGAAGTACGGGGTTATATAAGTGGCTATAAAGATGATATTCGATGATCTGAAGTGACCCTTGGCCATGCCGAACGTAATATATCTATGTATATGTAGCTATAGGAAAGCAATGGCTGCAAGCCAAATAATACATTCTCTCAAGAAGCCTAGCAGACAATGAGCGCAGGGAAAGGCGTGCGAATCGAACAATTAGAATTCCAGAACGAATAAACGCGGGTCCAACGCTAGTATAACTGCGAAGAAAGTAGGTGTGATAGTAATATGCTGCTAATGAGAAATGATATAGGTGGTAGTTCATAGTTTCATATATGAGAAAGAGAGCGAGTTTGAGGTGGGGAAGCCAGAAAGCAGAGCCAGTCCGACTATCTAGATCTACCAGTCCTTGGAGATGTCGAAGGACCACTCGAACTGAAGGTGGGTGTGGTTATCGTCGTCGACGAACTTGGACACGGCGTTGTAGTGGCCACGAGCAATCATGCCTGAAGGGGCTTCCTCGGCGTTGACTGGACGGTGTTAGAAACATCTACCTGGCTTATTCATGTGGGGGTGAGGCAGAGGAAAATAAAGCTTACACTTCTTCTCGTAGACGGGCTTGTCGGTGGTGTTGGGGGCGTAACTTCCCTATAGGCGAGTAAGCGACTGACCACGTGGTTGGTGAATAAGAAAGACAAGACTTACCAGCATCTCCTCGTCCTTGCCGACTCTGATACCCTTACGCTTCACGACCTGCAGGTACTTGAGACCGCTCAGAACCTCATGGTTGACCTGGAAAACGACCTTGATGTGGAAGGTGGCGCCCTCTTTGATCGTGAAGGGCTTGTCCTTGAGGGTGTCGACCGCTCCGGGAGCAGACAGGTCAATCACGACATCGGACCGTCCCTCAACCTCCAGGGCCAGGGACTTGATGATGCACTTTCTGGGATCGTTGGGGTCGCCAATGGGAGCTCCGGTGCTGAGACCCAGGGAGGCCTTCCAGCGGTTCAGGGACTCGTCGTTCTTGTCTGTGGGGAGATGGAGAGTCAGAAGCAGGGAAGATATGGAAGGTTTATCGCTCTAGAGATACGGGGTAGTCCAATCCTGCAGCAGCGAGAATGCTTGCAATGTATCTAGATATGGTTGACGGGACCGGGCAGCAAGCAAGGGGCGGGGCGCCGCCGCTTGCTTGCCGGCTGCCACGAGGCTACAACCGCGGGAATACCAGTGGGTGGGCGGACGACGGAGATACCACGTACCGAGGTTTGTGTACTCTTCAATGGTCTTCTTCTCTCCGACCTTGAAACCCTCGGTCTGGGAGGCAACGAGGTCTTCTTCGTGCTCGGGCATGTTGGTGGTGGGGGGGATTTGGAGACAGGGGGGTGGGAGAGGAGATGCTGATGTTGTGCCTCGCAAACGGGGGGAATACGGGCTAGTGAAGGGGTTAGTTCTGGACAGGAAGAGAGAGGGATCCTGGAACAGCACACACCAGAAGGTAGAAATCCCGGGGACTTGCTGAGGAGAGAAATGTTTTGGGATGTTTTGGAGTGGAAGTAGTCGACTAAAGTACAAGTGGGGGGAAAGGCGGTGGAGGGCCAAATGGGCCAGACCATCGCCTTGCCCGCCGAAGATTAAGGGGATTCAGGGCGTCCATGGAACAGGCCACGCAATGTATATATTTAGACGGGGAGCAGAGAGGCTTCAATTCTGCTCCGGCTTGGGGTGGGCTTTCTTTGGCCTCCGGACTGCGCGACAAGACGAGAGGCGACACGCTAGGTAGCGAGATATATGAGGCCGGAGGAGGTCCACCGCGCCCTATGGAGTGTCAACGGTTGCGCCGTTCTACTTAACTCGACTGCCCGAGGGGAATCTCCGGCAGACTCCGTGGAATCCCACTCGGCATTGGGTCATTGGTCGTATCTACTAGCCTGTATCCATGGAGTACGCTATCGAGTACTTGGGATATCACCGCTTAAATGTTCACCGGAGCCCTCTCCACCAGATGGCTACCAAGCACTTCGCAGTGACTTTCTGGCAACCAGATTGTCCAATGAATTGCGACTTATTGATGTGCTTGGGTCAACGAGAGACATCTTCTAGCATTAATCTGGGTCCCATTATCGAGGAGAATGAATGCATGATTGATTGTTGTACTAGGTGTGCCAGGGCATAGAGCCGACGAGTCATTCAATAATATCGCATTCTACTTGTGTTGTCTATAGTGTATGATAGATTTTTGATGGGCTGCCGCAATAGCCTACACTGAAACATACTGGAAAGAGGGAACAGTCTACTGCGTATGTTTTGTTTCGTTTCATTCTTTGCAGACAGAGCGATGCACCACAACAAGTGCCCGAAGCGTCCGACTGGAAGCATCCCGCGCATGTACATACAGATCTGCAGGTGCCCAATGTTGGGGGCCCTGCATTGACTATCTAAATATCTCGAGTCTCTCAGAGACCCTCTGGGACTTCACCGGCCCGCAGCCGAGTAGATGGGCGCCGAGGCACATTCGGGGCCAGATGGGAATCATAATAAATACCGAGTTGGGATGGAGGGCGTCACGGGGACAACCGGCTGTTTAGGCGCCAAGGCAGCGATACTCTGATGGGCTAAACACGTCACATCAGATACCGGGGGATGGGCCGGCTGCGCAGATACTTGCTGTTTTGGCCCTCCCCCACCCGAATTCGTGCCGGGGATTGGCCCGAGGGGGCAGTGGTGCCACAGTAGCGCGGTACCGTGGGGGGGATCAGACGGTCACGACCGGTCACGGTGGGAGCAATCGCCCGCCCCAATTTGCTTTCATTCCTTGACTATTTTCCTCCCCTACTTGCCTTGTCTGCTTATCGAACGGCGCCTTGACATCCATTCCCATTATCATCCGAGTCGTCGCGGCTCTGCCTGAGCGTCCCTATCCATCACCCACCCGACTCAACCGCGGTGTCTGTATCAGCGCGCCCAGAGGTGGTGCCCGTTTTGCCTTCGCGACCTCTCAAGAGCGCCGACAGACGCGCCTGCAACGTGGCCGCCGTTTTGGCGACGCATCTTTTCTCCATCACCACTCTTGACCTATACCCCTCGAATCTTGAATTGACGCTTCTGGCGACGCTTCTCAGCCATCATGGTGCGCTCTTTGCCGAAGAAAAACAATCCCCTCGTCCTGACGGATGTGGCTCCTGCTTGTAAGTTGTGATTCCAGCTAGCGCCCGAGCTCAGCCTCGATTGTGACGTGCCGGTATCTACCTCGACCAAGGCTTGCGCCAGGCTAACATGGCTTCTACTTCTCTGCGATTGCAGACGATGAACTTCTTTCGCGCCGTCGTCTGGGCAAGACAAACCTCGCTGTGAAACCCACCCAGGTTGGCACTTCGAATGCGACCAAGCCCGAGAACCTCGGTCCTTTTGAGTATGCCCATTTGCGCGCGCCGCTGCCCAGGGATCTCAAGGGATCTGAGATCTTCCCTTCACACTCACCTCAGCAACATCCCGAGACGTACTTTTTGATGGTAAGTCGCGTCCCTCTGGCGTCCCGAAACCAAGGGATGGATAGAATCGATGTTGACCCGAGACCTTTTACTGTTTATCAGAGACGTAGCAAAGATGGATTTGTTAGTGCTACTGGAATGTTCAAGATTGCCTTTCCCTGGGCCAAGCTCGATGAAGAACGGTCCGAGCGGGAATATCTGAAGACCCGGACTGAGACCAGTGAAGACGAGATCGCCGGAAATGTTTGGATTTCGCCTCTCCTCGGTAAGCGCAGTGAATTTTCTGCCAACAGTGACTATTGTTCTGACTTGCGCCTTAGCCCTTGAGCTGGCAAAGGAGTATCAGATGTACGACTGGGTTAGGGCCCTGCTTGACCCCACCGACATCGTCCAAAGCCCATCGTCTGCGAAGAAGCAGATCACCCCACCTCCTCGATTTGACCTACCGCCCATTGAAGCTCCTGCCATACTCACTGCGTCCTCGACGCGCCTGAGAAGGGGACGGTCCGCCTCTCCTAGCAAGAAACTTAGCTCTCCGCGCAAGCCCCGGCAAACCCGGGCCATGAAGGAGGCTAACGCTGCGGCAACCAGTGCAGCCAATGCGAGCCTCCAGACTTCCTTAGACCTGACGGCCTCCACAGCGGAAACGGAATCGGTCATCGAGACTGTTCACCAGAGCGTCGAGGTTGATGGCGACGAGAAGCCGGCTCCTAGCCCGAAGAAAGCGACACCCGCATTCAGGACGAAGAAGATAGCCGCCCGTATGCAGCCATTCGAGGAGCCCGAGAAGGAAGAGGAGAAGGTGGAGGAAGAGAAAGAGGAAGAGCAAGAGGAAGAGGAGAAGGTTCAGGTCGATGTCGAGACCAATGCCGAATCTGTTGACGACGTCAGAACTACGCAGACCACCGTGTCTGTTGAGATGCCCGTGACCCTTCCCGAGGCGCCGTCTGCTGCCGACACTGAGCAGATGATTGCCAAGGCGAAGGAGATGGTTCAGGAGGCCGTCAAGCTCCAGACTGAAACGGCAGAGCCGTCGTCGGCAAAGGCGGCCAAGAAGCGCAAGACGGAAGTGCTCAGCGACGATGAGGAAGAGGAGGATGAAGAGACTAAGACCCTTCGTGTGAAGAGGGCCAAGGTTTTGGAAGAAAAGCTCAAACAGGAACGAGTGCGGAACCGTGCTCTGGTTGGGGTCACAGCTGCCTTCGCGCTTGCGTAAGTCTTGTATGCCACATCCTCCATCGACATCGCTAACCGAGTTCTAGTGCCTCGATTCCTTATTTCTTCTAGACACCGATCACTACTTTGGGAGCAAATTGCTGTGATTATATGCCACGTTGGCCCCCTTCCGTCCATTTTCAATTCATGGACGATTCCGCCATGAACAGCCCTTCAAAAATTCCCCGTATCTTGAATGGCATGGTTCTGGACGATCTCTAATAAAGAGACAGCCGAAGCTGTTGTCCGTTCACAATCTGCCCCCTACCCTTGAAAACATCCGAGTCCAAGCTTTGGCCAATCCACCCGTGCGAATCGCAATGTCGAAGTCTTAACCAAGGCGGTTCTTGATGTATCGTATTGACCAGCATATTCCTTTACTAATGATGCCATTTGGTTGCAAGTGATGTGCCTCGCACGGGGGATTGGCCGGTGAGGTCCTGGCGATCGAGAGAAGCCTTGGGTTCTTTTCATTCATTATCTATGCCGTTTCTTATTTCCTCCTGGATACCTGATATACGCCTCTATAATGTGGTTTTTTTTTCCGTTTCTACACCATTTGGTCCGGGGTGTACCCTGGAGTCGTGATGCAATCGGATGGTTTGATTGGACTGCTCGGAGTTATGTTATTGTTAGGTAGATTTGCAGATGATGGGTACATGCAGAATCCCGTGTACGATGTTCCCGTACCACGTAGATAAGAGTGATGCTGTAGTTCTTTGTTTGGGATTGACTCCAAACTAGTTGCGGCTGTTCCGCCCTGCAAACAGGCTAAACATCGTCATTCTCCGCCTCTCGCCCGGAGCTTCAACCAGAAACTCCATGAGCAACACCTTGAATTCTCCAATTCTTCTTTCCCTACTCCTGTCCCGCCCTTCCCCTCAATCGGCGATGCCATGTCTCTCCCCGGCCTAGACCTTACCCAGCCCTCCGGGGACCGCGAGTTCGCCCCCGTCCCGCCATCCCAGATTAGTCTCTCCAAGGGCTCCGAGTGGCGGTTCGAAGTTGCCTTTGGCACGACCGTCCGCGTAAAGGTGAGCGGTCCCCTCCTCTCCCCTCCCCCTCCCCCAATCACAAAAACCAGAACGACTGACATCCTTACCACCTGGAGAACTAGCTTCTAGCCGGAACCGCAGAACTCTTTGGCACCGAACTAGCCCCCTCTCAAACCTACACCTTCTCCGGTACCAAAGCCGCAATCTACACCTGGCACGGATGCACATTAGAAGTTAGCGCCGGAGAGACTCTCCTCACTCTGGATGGTCTCGCCCCAGGAGGCACAAATGGAGCGACTGTGCGCGGACTCGGCGCGGGCGGCTGTCAGAGCGAATACGTGGCGGAGGAGACCCCGATGATTGAATACGCGAACGTGCATTTTGCGCTGGAGTCCCTACGACAGGAAGCTAAGGCGACGGGGAAGGATGGACCGCGGGTATTGGTTCTGGGACCTGAGGATGCGGGGAAGACAAGTTTGACGAAGATTCTGACGGCCTATGCGACGAAGATTGGACGGCAGCCATTGGTGGTTAACCTGGATCCGACGGAGGGGATGCTTAGTGTGCCGGGTACGTTGACGGCGACGGCGTTTCGCACAATGATTGATGTGGAGGAGGGCTGGGGGAGTAGTCCTATGTCGGGACCGAGTGCGGTGCCGGTCAAGTTGCCGTTGGTGTATTTCTATCCGATGCAGAACCCGCTCGAGGCGGATGGGTCGATATATAAGGCGATTGTGTCGAGGCTGGCGCTGTCGGTGACGGGGAGGATGGCGGAGGATGAGGATGCCCGGGAGACGGGAATTATTGTTGATACACCGGGAATCTTGAGTCAGAGCAAGGCTGGGAATGTGGAATTGATCAATCACATTGTGACGGAGTTCGCGAGTAGGTTTGGCTTGGCTGTGTTTTGGTAGAAGGCTTGCTGACGATGGCACAGTTACGACGATTCTGGTGATTGGCTCAGAGCGGCTGTATAGCATCATGATGAAAAACTTCGACAATAAGCCTACGGCGAGTGCTTCGGCGGCGGCGTCGGACGAGCGCATTTCGGTGGTCAAGCTATCGAAGTCCGGGGGATGTGTTGATCGTGATGCGGCGTTTATGAAGGCTGTGAATGAGTCGCAGATCCGGACCTACTTCTTCGGCAACCCGATCCCTTCGACGGCATCGGCAGCGCTGTCGCTGTCTGCGTCGTCGACGACGAACGTAACGCTGTCGCCGCATGCTCAGCAATTGGACTTTGGGGCTTTGTCGATCTACAATTACACGATCGCGTCCCTGGATGACGATGAAGATGAATACGATCCGTCACAACTTGGTGCCGGCGACGCATTCCTCCCTGGTGGCAGTAATGACATGGACCAGACTTCGCAGAAGGAAGAGAGCCCGGCTGCTCCGATGCTGCCGGGGATTACTGGCCCGGCGAAAGAAACGGTGTCGCCGGCAGGGACATCAAGCGTGCCGTTGAAGAAGCTCACGCCGCCGGCGCCAACCGGGCTGGCCAATTCCTTGTTAGCCATCACACATGCGGGACCGACGGCCAGTCCGGCGGAAGTGCGCGATGCCAGCATCATGGGATTCCTATATGTGGCGGACGTGGACGGCGAGAAAGGCAAGATCCGGGTGCTGGCTCCGGTGGGAGGACGAGTGCCAGGGCGGGCGATTGTGTGGGGGAAGAAATGGCCGGGGGAGGTCGTAGGATTAGTGGGGTGATGATGTACTCCGTATACAATTGCAGTATGGAGTTTGGAGTGTTGGTTCATATAATTCAGATGCAATACTTGATGTCTTAAGTATACAGTGGGCTGCCGTAAGATGGAAGATTCGGCCATATGACTATTTGGCCACCTCTAGACTCCTTACATCCGTTCAAAATTGGGGAAGACCGTAGAATAGTTTGGCTGATATTGACGCCTGAGGAACAGGGCCGATGCATACCTCCGCTCCGCTCCGCAGCCAAGTTCAACCTCCAACAACAACCTCCTATACCACTACTACCAACCTCCTTCCCACCGTGCCACCCAAGCACAGCTCACAATGGACTGAGCAAAGATCGCTGCTCGCCAGCTCCACCGATCTCTACATCATCCACATCCACAAACCAACTACCCCACACGATACGGCCTAACCCCTCTCAACCCAGGGCACCTCACCTTCATAACCAAACGACAACTACGACAACCACACCACCAAAGAAAACCAGGCAATGCCACGCCTCCACCCAACAACGCTCCTCCTCCTCCCACTCCGTCTCCTCACGACACCCATCACACTCCTCACGGCCCTCCTCCGCACACACACCAACACCAACACCACCACCCACACCCTCCACCACCGTCGCCGCCGCCGCCTAACCATGCTCCTCCTCCTCACCCTCCTCCTCCTCATCCTCCTCATTCTAACCCCCTGCTACCTAATCTACCGCCCACCCCTCATCCTAATCAACTACCTCCAAACCCTCAACCCAGACACCCTCTGGACGCTCCCTCTCCCCGCCAACCCCTCCCCGAACCACGAAAAACTAATAGCCCTAACCCTCGACGACGCCCCCTCAACCTACACGCCCCTCCTCCTACAAACCCTCCTCACCCACTCCAGCACAGCGACTTTCTTCCTCATCGGCTCGCAAATCACACCCCAGACCCACGCCCTCCTCACTACAATGGTTCAATCGGGAATGGAACTCGGCAACCACGCCATGCACGACGAACCTTCCTTCAAACTCTCCCCTGCCACTCTGTCTGCCGAAATTACCTCTATCGATAATACAATCAACGAGATATATAAGTCCGCAAATGTGGAACGGAAAGGGAAATGGTTTCGGCCGGGTTCGGGGTGTTTACGGGTTGGATGAGAGATACGGTGAGGGAGTTGGGGTATAGGATTGTTTTGGGGAGTGTGTATCCCCATGATGCGCAGATCGAGTGGGTTGGGTTGAATGTTTGGCATGTGGGGAGTTTGGTGAGGGAGGGAGTATTGTGGTGTTGCATGATAGGAGGGGGTGGACGGTCGAGGTGTTGGAGAGGGTGTTGAGGGGGTTGAGGAAGAGGGGTATAGGGTTGTTTCGGTGGGGGAGGCCATGGAGGCGGCGGAGAAGGCTGCTCGTGGTGGTGGTGCTACTGGGGGTGGAATTGGGGATGGGGGAAGGAGGTAGTAAATGGGAGGAGGAGGAGAAGGAGAAGGAGAAGGAGAAGGAGAAGGAGAAGGAGAAGGAGGAGGAGGAGGTAGGTTGAATGATGTACATGATAACATAACACTAATAGCATACAGGCGGGTTCCTGACCATGTACATAATAGGATACAAATCAAACAGAACAAATACACCGTAGCCCCCGGCCAGTCCTACTCGCTGCGCTTCCACTCCTCCACGTTGCGTCGCAGCTCCGCCGCCACGTCGTACCCTCGACTCGCGTCCTCCAGGAGCTCCTCCTCCCGATCCCGGTACCGCTGCTCCGCGTCGCGCCGCCGCAGCGCGACCTGCTTCAGGTACGTCAGATCGTTCTGCTGCACCGCTTCCAGGAGCTTGGCCCGCATGCGCGGTGAGTACAGCTGGCAGCTCGCTTCCCGGCACCGGGATGGCCCGTCGCCCGGGAGCAGCCGCATCGTTGTCGAGAACTTGCGCGCAATGGGGTGCTTGCGCTTGACTAGCGGCCACACCACATCGTCGTAGCAGTCCTCGCACACTGTGAGTTCCGGCAGCTGCGGCATATAGTGCCATGTGCTAAGGATTGGTCGGTCCCGCCGACAGTCCCGCAGCACCACCTTGCGCCGCGCGTACGAGAGGAACTCGGTCACAACCGGCCGCAGGGCATGCTCCTGGTCGGCACGGTTCGCCGCCATGTCCAGACAGTCGATGTACCGGACGAACCGCGGGCTGTCCGTTACAAAGTCGCAGGCCCGTTCCTGCTTGGTGGAGCTCCGCTTGAATGTCTCCCGATGCTGCGGCATCAAGATCCGCAGATTCCGCACGCAGGCTGAGCATACGTTGAACTGCGGGAGGTACAAGTTCGTCTCCGGGTCCACGATCCGGTACCAGTGCTGGTCGGTGATGATACGGCCCGGGCACGGCCTGCTGCTGAGAGCGGGCCGCGTGATTTGGTGGAGCAGTTGGAGGCTGTCCAGCTGCTTCTTGAGCGTCTGCATCCATGCCAGTCGCGTCCAGGGTTCGCTCATCGAGCAGCGGACCTTCTCTCCGCGAGGCCGGGGGTTGCCCAGGACGAATAGTTCGCGGAACTCCGACTTGCGCATCTGCTTCAGACAAGATGGGCAAATATCCAAATGGGGCAGGCCCTTGACCGTGTGCCAGTCCTGGTACCCGGCGACGGGAATCGACCTGGGGCAAGGGGCGAGGAAGAACTGCGGCTTGGGCGATGTCTGACGGACAGCGTCCTGGGATGAGCTCCGTCGTCGTGGCAGCAATGGAGGTTCAGGAACATCCCCGGGAGTCCTTGGGAGCGACGAGGACCTCTGTGGCACGTCATCGAGGAAAGACACGGCCCGTCGAGCTGGCAGCTGGGTGGATGACTGTCCCCGGTCGCTCGAGACCGATCGAGCGGCCGACCTGGCCAAGAGCGGGCGTGGTGGGAGTTGCGGTGCCGGAGCTGCGGCGGATGAGGATGGCTCATGTGCGTCCGTGCGGCGGTCAGTAGGCGGCTCATTGAGGGGTTCCTTTGGCGTCGACGAGGACCTGGGACGGGTTGCTGGAGCGGTTCGATGGGCTGCAGTATCTGTAGGCGCCACGGGTGGCTCCGTGGGACGCCCAGCCGGGGCGCTGGATTGGGTAGCAGACGGACCAGCGCTCTTCTGGGCATCGGAGCCATCCTTGGATGCGCGAAGCTGCCTCTGACGTATCTTCTCTTCCAGTCTTTCTGCCACGCTAAGTCCGGTGGAAACCTTCTTGTCCGTTGGGGGCATGACAGGTTTATCCGGTGTTTCACGCTTGCTCTTGGGATTGACTGTCGCCGAGTCGGACTGGTAGCCGGACTTGGAGGAGGCAAGGGCGTCAATGGAGCGGCCATGCTTCACGCTCCCTGATCGCTTGGGTAAGGATGGAGTCGACTTGCTTTGAGTGACGGCAGGGGCGCGTAGGCTAGAAGATCTCGAGGCATTCCGGGAACTTTGGGCTGTATCCTTCTTGGGGCTATCTCTCTGGGTACTGGTATCTGCTCTGGGACGGCCTCGGATGGTAGGGATCGACTTCACAGCTGGCTTGCTGGGTGCGGCATGGAATTTCTCTCGAGTTGTAAAGGGAGCAGACAACGGGACTGCTTGGTCATCCCCGACGATGTAGAGCATCGGGTCCTGTTTCTCATCCACCGGGGTTGGCGGCCCTACATTGTCATCCGAGCCGCTGTCACGGTGGACATCCTCATAGATGACGGTCGTCTCTGAGTAAGAGGAGTAAGAAAGCACGTCCACAAGCAGTGGGTATTGATCGACGGCTCCTCGGGAGCAAACCCCTTCGAGTCCGGGCATTTCTCCAAGCTGGGACATTCCGTGTAGTTCACGGGAGAGGGACACAATTTCGTCTTCCACACATGGCGAAGGGGGCCAGTGGGTCTGCTTGCGCCAGCGCAAGCTCATCTTGGAGGTAAGATACATGGTAATAGAAACAAAGAAAGAGAACTTTTAACAACGAAAAGCAAAGCTCCAATGGAAGTCGGTCCTGAGGGCTATCCTGTGGTGGCACGGTGGATCAGAAAGGCTTTCCTGGCAGTTGGCATCATATATCCGTCGCGTCGAACTCACTCGAGAATGGTCTCGAAAGGAGCAAAAATAGCACAGGCGCTCGGCAAACAGCAGTTGGCACGGAAGCGGTCCAGATGGAACTGGAAACAGTCAATCAACTTGCAGATGGAAAAGTCAGATGGCCTGGGAATCCTTTGGGAGCGGCTAGAGTTAAGTATTGTGCGACGGTAATGTTAGTTGCTGATGTACATCCCCCAAGAATGGGGCAGAGCGAAGAGATTTCTCGAGAGGCTATATAAAGTAAACACACCCCAATGGGAACCTGGTCGGGCAGCGCCTCTCTGGGGATGGGGGCCCTATCAGGGCCTGGGCTCAGACATTGGGCGTTAATTGGCAGCGAATGAATCCTCCAGCCCTGAAACGCGACGATCGTGGCCAGACGTCAAGCGTTGGGAACGAATGGCTCTGCTGAGGCCATGTCAACAGGAGATGGCAAAGCTGAAACCCTTTAGACACCCTATGCAGGTGAGGTCAAGTGGCCTGTGTCTGTCAGTCGGCGTTGGAACAACTTGTGCTAGCACTTCATTCGCCATCCCCGCTTCCGTCAACCGATTAGGTGCCAATAGCACGCCCCGGCGAGCAAAGGAGATTTAGTCTGCGGGAAAGGCGCCACTTCGAAGCATTGGCGTCGATAGCGGTTGGCCTGGTCACAACAGGCACGACAGTATCTAGTCAGTGAGCTGACAAGGCTCTGGCAAAGCCACACAGCCTCCGTCGAGGAGTACCCGGGCCACCCCGGCATTGGGCGTCGTCGGCTACTGGTGCCACCTTTGGGATGAGCTGCATCCCCCTAGCTCGATGACGCTGAGAGATGGAAAGTGGCTTCCAATGATGCGATCCATTGTTGGAATTGAAGCTGCGATGACATCAGTGGGAAAGACGGTGAGGAGAGCAATGGGTGGCAATATGCAGTGTGAGGCGGTGACCCCAGCAATATTGAGTTGTCTGACTGAATTGGACATGCATTGGTGATGTTGTCCGCCGTGACTCCAGGTGGGTGGATGAAGATGATGGAGATGATGAAGGCAGCGAGCGAACTGGATGAGGACCGCCATTGCCCGATCGGAAGTTATGCACTCCAGTGACTTTATGCAAATGCATGACTCAGCTATGCTCAGATCGGTCCGTCGGCGTCAGCCATTTCCGACGGTTCGGACGCCCTGCCGATGGCGTCACTCCGTCGGATGAAGATGTGGCCATCGCGATGATGGTGAGCATGGAGATAACGAGCAAAGTAAATGGTCAAGATGAATATGATTCGTACGAAGCAACCAACAGAATGCTTCCATTGTGGTGACAGTGTTGGAGCACATCCGACATCCGCACCCGATATCCGCAACCGCATCGACAACTGAAGAAGAATGCTGCACTGCGGGGAAGAGCTGGAATCAAGCTCCAGAAGGACCGTTCCAAATTGCCTCAGTCGCGGTCCACTTTCGGCAAATCTATCTAGACAGGAGGACCGTCGAGCTTTGTAATTCATAGCCGTTGTAAACCTCAACCCCCACCCGAGGATATACTTAACCCGCTTGCTGCCCACCCCTCATTCTCCATCCAATGCCCCTCCATCGCGTTTTCCCCCGTCTTGTACGACCCTCTGCCACCATTACTTCCTCCCTATCGCCCCCGGCAATTCGCCTCGCCGCGATCACATTCCACTTCCGTCCCATCTCATCTCCAGTCCGCACTCGCACCACCATGTCCATCCCCCAGACCATGAAGGCCGTCCAGGTCGAGAAGCTCGGCGGCCCCGAGGTCCTCGAGTTCAAGCCCGACCACCCGGTCCCCACCCCCAAGGAGGGCCAATTGCTCGTAAAGAACAACATCTCTGGCATTAACTACATTGACACCTACTTCCGTACCGGTCTGTATGCCTCTGCAAAGCCTGAGATCCTGGGCCGCGAAGGCGCCGGTACTGTCGCCGCGCTGGGCGCCGGTCCCAACCCCTACAACTTCCAGGTCGGCGATCGTGTCGCCTGGCTCAGCACCGGCGGCTATGCTGAGTACACTGCTGTTCCCATGGCCAAGACAGTCAAGATTCCTGAGGGGATCACGGACGAGGACCTGATGGCTTCATTCCTGAGTGGATTGACGGTCATCACCCTGGCCAAGGAGACGTATGCCGTGCAGAAGGATGAATGGGTGCTGTTGCATGCTGCAGCTGGTGGGGCTGGTACCCTCATGACGCAGGTGCTCAAGTCCATTGGCGCAAAAGTGATCGGTACGGCTGGTGGGCCGGAGAAGTGCGAGCTGGCGAGGAGTCTCGGTGCCGATGTGGTGATTGACTACCGCAGTGAAGAGGGCAAGGACTGGGTGAAGAAAGTCAAGGAGATCACTGATGGTCGGGGAGTGGATGTTGTCTTTGACTCGGTCGGCCAGGATACCTGGGAGGGAAGCTTGGAGTGCGTTAAGCGCAAGGGTACCATTGTCTGGTTTGGCAATGCCAGTGGCCCGGTGCCTCCTTTGCCTCTGCAGTAAGTCCGGGATTGGATGATACCTAGGATGTCAAGCCGTACTGATTCGTTTTCTATAGGAAGCTCGCCCCTAAGTGTGTCAAGGTGGCCCGGCCTCAGCTCTTTGGCTACATTGAGACGCGCGAAGAGTTCGAGTACTACGTCAATGAGCTATTCTCGCTTCTTCTGTCGAACAAGCTTAAGGCCAAGATCCATAAGGTCTATCCTTTGGAGGAGGTGGCCCAGGCTCACACGGATCTGGAAAGTAGAAAGACCACCGGCAAGTCGCTTCTGAAGCCCTGAGCGGTGAGAATGTGTGTGATGAATACGTGTCTGAATAAAATATCATTGTGCTGGCTATCTGTAAAATCAAATATGATCTTGGCATGTTTACGTGTGTTGGATTCGACCCGTAGTTCTACCTACAGCGAGCATTCATGAACCTACCCAGTAGTGTTCTCGAAGTGCTCACAGGGTGACCGATGAGCTGTCATCATCATCCTGCGCCCCAGTCAAATCCCTTGGCTCCTTCCATCCTAGCATCAGATCATTTTCCAGAACTGTATAGATAGAGCCATACGCTCGGTTCACATCCTCGAAGTAATAGAACCCACAGTTCATCTTCCACACCGGGGTAATCACTTTCATTCCCGGGTAGCAGTACTGGAGCAGATTCCTCTCCACGAAAAACTCGAACTCTAGCTCCGGATATCCTGCCATTTCCTCCTCCGGACTTCGGTCATAAGCAGGCTGCCCTGGATCCCGGTAAGCCTTGGCCAGCAGCTTTCCGACGGGATTGAGATCAGGGGCTTGCGCATCGTACAGGCCACAGATGACTTGATCGGGAGCATGGACGGCAGTGATCTCAAACCCATCGATGTCCTCAATGCGCGTTGCGCTCAGCCCCCCTTGTTCGTCCAACTTCAGAAGCCCGAGAGTTTGTGTGTCCTCACCTGCACACGCGAGGGCGAACTTGACAATCTTGCGGGCGACGTCGTTCGACAGGATAGACGGATCTTCCTTGGAAAATCTCCAGTCATGGCCTAACACAGATGCATTATAGAAGTCGCCACCGAAAAGCGTGGAGCAAGCTGCATTGAAATCACCAGGGCCTTTGGCCATAAATTGCTGGTTCTTCCACAGCTCCTTTGCAGCTATATCGCACGATGTTCTGGCCTGGTCGATGTTCTCTTTGTACTCTGGACACACGTCATGATAAAGCAGATATGACAGGAAGTTTCGGATGGTGACCGTCGCCAGCTTGACCATTTCTTCGGTTTCGGGATTGAAGTAGTACGGGAAGAAGGACGTCCTGTAGCAGTCAGTTGAGTCCCATCTCATTGAGAGTATTACATTCTCACAGAAAGCCGCGGACAACGGCATCGAAGTCAACGGTCAGGTTCGACTTGTCCTTCCTAATGCTAGCCAGGGCTCGGGCCTGGAGGATCTGCTCGCTGTCCAGTGCCTGGAGGTCATGATTATCCACGCCCCCGAACATCTTCTGACTGACATCCACCCCTCCATAGGCCAGATACTTTAGGAAGACCTCTCTCCTATCCGACTCAATACGACGGTTTTTCTGATAGCGTAGAAGGGCATCTTCGAGTCGACTGGGATGAGTCAGTATGGAATCACACATCCACATGCCGATCGTACTTACAAGAGCAGAGGTCGTGAGCTGAGTGCATATTTCAGTTAGTGTTTCCCATGTCTTTCATACATGGAAGGAATTACCTACACTTTATAGATATCTTTTTCATCCTCGAACTCCTGGGGGGTCATGGGAGCATCAACGTAGTACTCTTCGAAACCGGTGGGCTTGTTCTGCGCCAGTCAGTCAGGCTTCATCGGGTCTGATTCTCGAGTATGCTCACCTTTCCACGCTTACTCTTGGGGCGAGGCTTGCTCCGTCTCTTCTTTTTGGCCTCACCCCATTCCACCGAGGGGCCTGGATCCTGAGCCTGTTCCTCCTTGGGCGACTGAGGCGTAGCAGAGCCTGACTTCACCTGCGGCTGTTGATCACCAGTGACATTTCCTGGCTTGGCAGGCCGAAAGGGGAGGCCACTAATCGTGTTGGAGGTATCCGTGGATTCCTGCATTGTGATAGCAGTGATGTTCTAGTAAGCTACTAGGGAGATGGTGTATTTGGTCATGCTGGCAAAGAGAAAGGAGAGGGAGAAGAGGAAAAGAGAAAGGGAGGGAAGGAAGAAGAAAATGAGATGAGATCTGCAGAAACGGACAAAAAGGACAGGAACAAACCGGGGAATGATCAGTGAAAGCACGGATTCACCAGTGAGAATGAAAGGATGTTAAGGTGAATACAACTACCATGAAGAAGGGAGGTTCCTGACCTGCTCGTTTCCTCTTGGGGGAGGGGAGGGGAAGGGGAGGGTTTCATTGTAGTACTACTAGATAGTACTAGGGACATGCCGGGGGGTACCTACTGGAGAGAGTGAAAGTAGTAGTTGTATTAAGTACTGTATTGTGTGAGACCTTGTGGACTGGGGCAGAGATGCCCATTGGTGGTGGTGGTGCAGCAAACAACGGCTTATTGGAACAACGAAGTATACACACGCCCGCCGCGAATGACCCTCGCCGTCATCCTCTTGGCCACAATGCGCCCTCTGGATGGATGTCCTCCAGCCTTGTCGGATGATTTCAGGGTCTCCTCCGAGCCCTTCCAGCCATTCATTTCTTGTCTACACCGAAATCCTTGCCTGTGCGATCTTGCCCGGGCCGCCTAGTGTTGCCAGGCCCAGCCGGATTCTCGCATATGAAGGCCTCCGGTTGCACGTCACTTCAGCTCGGAACAAAACCACCACTCGCACCATCCCACCACCACCACCACCTCCTCCTGTGGCTTGTCCCTCCTTTTCTTGCCAACTACGCCAACCCCTTTGTTTGCCTGTCGAACGCCTCTCCTTTGTCTGATTGCCTCCTTTCCCTCCTGATTATTTTTGACCTGTCTCCTTTTAACCAGCTCCTCCTGCGCCCTCCCGCATCGCTCCCAAACCTCATCGTCCGTGACTCACTCATGCGGAATGCCGCCTAGAATCCAGCGGTCTCTGTTGGACAGTGAATAATCCCCCTCTTCCCGGAAGCCCAAGATGTCATCTTCGCGGTCGGACAGCCTAAAAACTCAAAAACTGGACACCGACAGCTTTGTCGCCTTTGACCACGCCGCCGCTGGCCAGTAAGTTCTGCGTCCCCGCCCTTGCCGCAAGAAACATGCTTCATGGCCGGCATCCCACCCCACCGTTTCCAACCAATGTTTGTGTGCTCTACAACCGCGACGTTGCAGCCGACTGACGCTGTGTCAATAACAGTGACGGTGTCCAGTGCACTCTTTCCGGCTCCTTCATCGCAAAGCCCTGCACCCCGGAAGAAGTTGCGTTCTACGAGTCCAGCGCCCTTCACCCGGCCTTCAGAGACTTCATCCCCACCTACATCGGAACTTTAACCTCGGCGGACCTGCAGCAATCCTTCACGCTTGAAGCAGCTGAACAGGCTGGCGCAATTGTCCTCCCCGGCTCCGACTACTCGTCTACGCCGGACACCCCGACCGCACCGGCACAGCCCAGCGCGGCGGACGCGGGGGGCCCCACGAGCGCCGCGCAAGACTTGCCGTGGGTTCCCTCGAATGGGAAAAAGCTGGAGACTGGAATCTCCATCGTACTTGAAAATGTGGCGTCCGGGTTCAAGCGGCCGAATGTTTTAGACGTGAAGCTGGGGGCGCGACTTTGGGCAGACGATGCGCCTCCCCAGAAGCGGGCGAAGCTGGACATGGTGTCCAAAGATACGACCAGCTCAAAGCTGGGATTTCGCATTGCCGGCATGAAGGTCTGGACGGGCGTGAGCGGGGAGAGCGACGAAGGAAGTAAGACCGATCCCTATGCCACGAAATACGAGGGGGCTGAGGGGGCGAGGGGCAAGGTCATCGAGAAAGACGGCTACAAGCGCTATGACAAGTGGTATGGGCGGGCTCTCAATGAGAACAATGTCCGGGAGGGTTTCAAGACCTTCCTCGCGGGAGCCAAAGCCGGGACCGTTGATCACTCCCAGATGGTTGCCCAGAGGTTAGCCGACGAACTCCGGAAGGTGCAGCACGTGCTGGAGTCAGAGGAAAGTCGGATGTATTCGTCGAGTGTCTTGATTGTCTACGAGGGGGATCCGGAAGCGATGGAACATGCGCTCGAGGAAGAACAGAAGCCCCGGCCTGAACCGGGGGAGTCCGAGTCGGAGGACGAGGACGAGGAGGTGGAATTCCAGATCCAGCAGGATGGGTCATTTCAAGTTGTTGATATACCGGTTGGACAGGGGACCAAGTCACACCAGGCCATCAATATCAACATCGACCCCGAAATGGCGGAGTTGGCAGAGCTGGGGGGTCTCGACGAGGATGAGGAAGAGTATCTCCCAAAGGTGCATGACCTTCGTCTGATTGATTTTGCGCACGCCAGTTGGACACCAGGCCAGGGGCCGGACGAGAATGTACTCAAAGGGGTCCGGAACTTGATCAAGATCTTGGACGGACTTGCTAGCGAGTAGTGTACGATATGGGGGCAAGCATACAGTCGCTGGCGGCTGATGCTATGAAATATGGCATAGCTAGGTGCTACCTAGGGGTATTGTGGAGATATCATGTACATCACAATCTCGTCTATAGTTCAAATCATCATGTTCATTCAAATTCCAGCCTGTCGCATGAACAATGTTGTAAGAATCAACAGCAGTGATAAACTTAGACCTTACATTGACTTGGTCCTTATTAAAAAACTATCAATTCACTAAATGTACAGCAAAACAATCCCAACTTTCTTCTATAGTACCAAACACTCGGGTGTCATAAACCACTCATGGAGGACCATGAACAAACCAATACATTCGAAGAACTCCTCCATCCCCCCATCACTCTTACTATTCACTCTACTTCGTATCAAAAATTCTTTCACCTTAACCTCATCCTTTCCTTTCTCACAGAAAACAAAACCGAAATAGACACATACACGTAAAAACCAACCCCCCATCCCAACAACTCCGGAGTATACAAAAGGGTACCTACATAGAACCAAAGCAAATCTTACATAATCACCACCACCTCCGACCCTCGCCGCTACCTACCGCCTCAAACCCATCCATCGCAAACCGCATCCCAGCGAATCCACGCCCTCACCACCACCGTCGAGACCGAAAATGTTTCCCACGCGTGCCCTCCTGGGCCGTTCCGTCTGGAAAGGTAAGCTTCTATACCCCCCATCTACCACCCTATTCACGAAAACCAAGACAAAACTAACAAGCACGTACTTCTAGGCCCGAATATCGTCCCGTACGTCGCATCCATAATATAACCCAATTCCAATTCCAATCACAATCACCCGCAATCACACTCACCTACCAATACCCTCGAACCCACACCCCGCACAACAAACCACTCAGTATCCAAGTCAACAGTAAGAAAAAAAAAAACAAAAAACTAACGGAATAAATCTACTTAGTCTCCCCCTTCCCCGCAAACTCCCCGCTCCACCAGGAACACCACCCATCAAGACGCAGAAGCGCGGCGCCACTATCCTCCCCAATTTCGTGGGATTGAGGTTCTCGGTCCACAACGGGAAGATTTATCAGGATGTTATGATTACGGAGGAGATGGTCGGGAGGAAGTTGGGGGAGTTTGTTGCGTGAGTTTTTCTTTCTTTCTTTTTTGTTCCTTTCTTCGGGCGTATTCTTGGGGATTGGGGGATGTTTGAATGTTGGGGAATGTGAGATGAGATATGTGTATGGGGAGATATAGTGGGAGGGAGGGTGGGGTGGAGGGAAGTGTGATGTGGAGTTGATGGCTAACTGGTTTTCGGGATAGGACTCGGAAGAGGTTTTCGTATAAGCAGTCGAAGAACAGGTAGAGAGTTGCCGGGGCTTGCTTTGGGGTTGTTTGTTGGTCTGGAGGTGTACTACTATACTACGTACTTGCTCTGTATTGTCCAGTGGTTACTGGGTGTGCGTGTGGATGTGTAGGTAGATGCTCAGCACGACAGGCAACGGCTGGAGAGGTGGACGAGTGAGGCTGGGTGACTTGCATTATCAGTGTTTTTTTTTGTAATCTTGTATCAGGCGTTTCGACTACATACTCATTCCTAGAGTATACGTGCATGTAAAATAGACACGGAGTCAATGGACTAACACTTCTATCACCTCTTTTTTTACCCTTCTAAAAACCAGTAGCAACCTGTTTCCCACTCGATCCAACGCCCTAACTCCGTTGTATTTCATGCTCGGCCCAAATGCAGGATATCGTTTGGCCGCGCCCAGGTTTTACGCCAGTAAATATAAAAATGAGGCAATCCCATGCCCGCCTTATGAATGCCAGCCATTCCATTCCCCAGACTCTGGTCGTGTTCAGTAAGTCACCAACCACCCAGCCAGGATACCGTGTCGTGCTTTCATACGGATCTCGGAGCGTTCCACGACCCCAGTTTGAAAGACATTCTCCCGGCCATGAGGTATTACCGATAAAACTCCCCTCTCTTAACACTCACACCATACTCCGATACTGCCATTCCTAGGTCCTCCATCGTGAGTACCGTCCGCCCCTGTCCCGAACCTCCCGAGCCACCGCCTCCGAAACCCGGTCGCTGAATACCAAGATGTGTACCCGCCTTGCCCTTGCTTGCATCACCACCTCCCACGCCGGCCGCGGCGCCCGCAGAACCAACACCCGCGGCCCCGGCAGGCATGCCCAGCCCCGATGCAGCGTTCAGACTGCCCATGGGGTTACTGGCGGAGGAGCTGTTGGAAGCGCGGATGCGCGCATATTGGTATGAGTCGGCGGCGAGATCAGCGATGAATTTTTGGGTCGCGAGGGCAAGGAGACGAGCGAGGTGTGGCGGGGTCTGGTTGGGGCCGTTGCCTGGTGGCGGGAGACCGGCAAGGGTGAGATAGTGGGATGTGACGGCGTCGGGGAGCTGACAGGATCTTTGTTAGAGGGATGATAAAAGTGGTGCCGGATCAGGTGGTATGGGACGAATAGGAGTGAGGCGTATAGCGAGCGAAAGGTGACATCTGCAGAGAAAACTTACAATAGGCGCATACTCGTCCATCTTGCCCATGAACTCCCGCAGGCTGGTTTCTTTCTTGGACGGCGCTGCCGCCGCTGCGAGAGCATCCACGGAGGTCGGCGCGGGGACAGCGTTGCCTGATGTTGCGGCGTCGTCGGAGGGGTTGGCGTTGGGCATTGTGTTGAGGCTTCCAGGGTTTAGATCAATCCCTTGATCGAGAGGCACATCCAGGGTGGTTTCTGTAGAGTCTGGTTCTTGTTTGGGTATGATGGTCCCGGAAGATGAAGCTAGGGTTGGGCCGGGAGTGACGGAGGAAGTCTCTTGAGAAGCTGAAGGTGCCGAAGGTGCAGCTAGAGGGGGTGGTTGCGATGACGATGATTCGGCCATGGTGGTAATCTCGTAGTAGTAGTCGTCTCTTTCGGGTGGTGGCTGGTGAGCAAGGGACAGGCAGCCAGAATCAGTCCAATGGTGAATGAAAGACCCGGCGGCGGTCAGACAAAGAACCGGGGTGGGTGGTTGCGTGTTCCAATTGTCCTGCTGCGTGGTTGGAACCCGGGTGACTTGCAGTGGTGGAAGAAGAATCATGGGCTGTTGGAGTAGCAATGCACTGGCCGGCTCCAGTTGCCGGAGCGGACTGCCATTCGTCTCGCCCGCAGTTCGGCCCGACGACTACTACTACTATTACCCCTACATATTTGCAGACCATCATGAAAGACAAAGGCGTACATTCGTAGAATACAGTCTGGTACATATCCCTCGCTGTCTTGGAAATTACTAGAAAAAAGATATTGTTACACAGCCCAGACTCCCACACGGCCGGCCGTCCATCCCCAGCAAACAGCATCAGTGACCCTCACCTTAGGTCCTCCAAGTCCCTGGAAATCACTCCAATCGCTAGAATAAAAGATACACACGCATAGAGGCACATTTTGATACATGTGGAGCAGTGGAAGAGAGAGAGAAAAAAAAAAAAGAATAGTAGGAGCAAGGAGCAAGGAGCAGTCACTCACCCCTGTTCATTGTCCCAGATGCATGTTGGGGTCAACGTGGTCCTGGTGGTGAGCATGATGCTGGTGCTGGTGATGATGGTGATGGTGATGGTGATGCTGCCCGAATGCCTCGCCATGCACCTCCTGGCCGAGAGTCTGCATCAAGTTCTGCTCGGCTGTTTGATCAAACGTCGCATGGGCCCCAGCATCGGGCGGCAGGGGCGACGCGGACATGTCGTGGCCGTGGCCGAGTCCAACCGGCTGAGCATGTGCGCCTGCAAGCGCCATCATGCCTTTGATGCCTTCAACATGCGCCTTGTCTTCCTCGCCCTGCTTCTTTTGCCGTTCACGAGCTTCGCGTTTGGCGGCCTGTGCGGGCGCGCGAGTTTTCAGTTCGCCCGTGACAAACTTCAGGTAATACGGGACTTCAATGCCGCTCTTGAGGAAGAACAGCTTCAAGTTACGCGCTTTGTCCTTGAGCTGAACCTGGTTGCGGTCCTTCAGCGCTTCGCTGATGGTGCCACCAGGCCCGAACATGGCGAGGATCTGACTCCAGTGAGGGCCCTTAACCCTATCCAGACCAGCCATCAAAGCATTCTCTTCTTCTGTCGTCCACGGTCGGCGCTGGCTTGGCAGGCCAGACTTGCGGCTGCTGGGAGACGACTTGGCGGAGGCCGCCATGCGGGCGCGCTCATACAGCACCTGAGTAGGCTGGGACTGCGAATAGTGCGGGATGCCAGGCATATAGCCATGGTTGGCTGCTGCCGAGTTAGGTCGCGGGATCGATGCAGGCGTAACGTGGTTGTATTGCTGGAAGTTCGCCTGTAGAGGACTTTGCTGGAAGGTCAGTTGACCGGGCGGCTGCTGATAACCAGACGGCGCGGGACTGTGATGGTACGGCTGCTGATGGGCCTGCTGATGTTGCATCTGGCCGGTTGGCTGGGCCGCAGAATACCCGTGCAAAATCTGCCCCCCGGCTGTTGCTGATGTTGAGGCGGCTGTTGCTGAAGTTGCTGGGGTTGGTGTATCGCGTGCTGCTGGTGATGCTGCGGTGGTTGCTGGGGCGGTTGTTGTTGGTTTTGTTGCGCCTGCTGTTGCTGGGACCGTCGCAGGCCGTGGCCTTGCAGCGCAATTTGCGCCGCACGAGCCGCACGAGCAACAAGGTCACCGTGCATGTTTCTGTCAACCGGAACATCGGGCGGCTGTGTCGAGATCGGGAATTGGCCTTGTAGGGGGGCGTTGGGAGGCTGGGAGTCTCCATCAGATGAGGATGGCTGTCGACCCTTGGCGGTCTTTTTCGCCTGGCTCCTCGTTAGTGTACAGTCATTAGGAGCGATAAGAACAATAGGGATCCAGACCTGTTGGTTACTGAGAGTATCAAAGTTCTTCGTGATGTAGGAGCTCAAGTCCCGAAGAAAGTCCTCCCAGTGGTACTTGTCCGGCAAGGCCTTCATGGCATCTTCATTGTTGACATCGCTCAGAAGAATATCACGGCGCGAACCAGCCCGTTTGACAAAGTCGGCTTCACTAGGTGCCAGCTGACGAGTCCCAGGTCGCCGATCAAGCAAGTGTTGCTCCAGCTCATCAGGGAACAGATCGTAGAGAAGCTCGGTTCGGGTTCGCTCCGAGTTGTTCATCGATGCGATGAACGCCTGGGTCTTAAGTTCCAGGAACAAGGCACCCTGCACCTTGAGGAGACGACCACCCTCCGGGACAAACACATCGAGGAAATTATCATTCAACTCCGAAAACCCGATCTCCTGGGTGCCGAAGATACTAGAAACGAACGAGGCCAGATTGGCTTTGCGAATAATGTCGATTTGCGAGGATTCGGTGAGCTCCAGCTCCGTAGGCGAAAGGAAAGACTTTTTGCTGGAATAGACTTTTTTCGTATGGTCGAAGAGCGATCGCATGGTCGCGTAGGCCTGGCCACTCTCGGTCTCCGGTTCAGAAACGAAGGAGGTAATCTCCTGGTACGAGGACTTGGCCAACAGCGAGAGGATTTGAGTAGACTAAACAGATCGGCGGATCAGAACGCAAGATTTCCAAAAAGGAAAAGGGAACGAAAAGAAACGAAGGGAAAAAGAAATCTGCACAAGACACAAGATACCCCAACGTACCAAGTTGTCAAGAATAGGTAAACTCTGGATCTTCAGGTGCGAGTTGGCCTTGACAAACACCATGCCCTTCGGAGGCGACGCACTGGAAGTATCCACCAATTGCTGCTGGCCGATCACACATTGTTCCTCTACTCGTTCTGCGTGATTCATGATGCTCGATATGACCGTGGCCATGTCCGAGTCGATGTCGGCACTGCTCTCCGGTGGTGGCACGGCGCTTTCCGCGGTCCCTTCGATCGGAACGGGCGTGTCCACCGGCCGCTCCACGGGGTCAACAACGCCGGAACCCAGCGCAGAGGCCAGCTCTTCTTCGATCTGATTGCCCGGGGCTTGGTCTACTGTTAATGCGGGCGGGGGTGGTGGGAGTGAAAGGTCGTCGGGTTCGGCTTCCAGGCGGCGTTTCTTGGAGGCTCGCGGTGACTGGGATACTTCATCCTCCTCGAGAGGGTGAGACATTTTAGGGGAGACTACCATGGAAACGCGTTAGCATTGAATGGGCAAACAAACAAGCAATGCAAAATGGTCCTATAAAAGGCCGGGAGTCGCCCATGGGGGGAGTTTCTGAGGTCCTGGTCCTGGCAGGAGAGGCCGGAGGGCGGGAGAAAGACAGTCTTTGCAAGGACACGCAGGAGGACTCACCATGAGCAACGTTTTCGGTCACAGAGGGGACAGGCAACTCAACAGAGGCCGCCTCGTCGAGAGACGGGCCTGTACCTCTCGTGTCGACCATGTTACGGACAATTCCTGATGGAAGGGATAGGCGTTGACTTCCAAGAGCAGAAATGAGGGCTTAGGGGTAGGGCGCAGGCGTAGGGCTTTGGGAAGTGTTAGGTTGACGATGGCCCCCTCAGATTTTTCCATCCCGCCGCCGGCCGGTTGCTGGCTGGCTCGGCTGTTGTTCCAACTCCATCCGGGGTGGCTACTTACTATCTGCCACCGTGGAGAGTCCATTCGAACTAGGTCGGATCCATGTATTTCCTTCGAATTTACAGGGGATAGCCTAGGATCCATCCCAATCCCGGTGTTACTCTGGGCTGTTACGGAGATGTTGTGTTCTGCTCTGGCATGCTAGAATATTGGTAGTAGTTGATTTGCTGCCCATCCGACCGTCTTCCGACCACACCAATGGCATCGCTTCCTCTTTTCGGAACCACCTCGCTGCCTGGCTGCCTGGGCACGGGATCATCGCCATCTTCATTCCAAACACTCCAAACGCTCCTGCTTTTTCTTCTTCCTTCATCTGCTTCTTCCTTCTTCAACCGCTTCTTCTCTCCCTGATATACATACTCCGTATACCTGACCACTCCTCCGTAGTAGTGTATCATTGACCACTATGCGCCCAGTGGTAGCATCCATCCAGGGTTACTTCCACCCAATACTACTCCGGCCACGCGTCATAGATTCTCAACTTTTTTGTGATAACCCATTGTAACAGACTGACGTGCTCCAGTTCGCTCGTACTTTTTCAAACGACAAAGATGATGCTTATGTGCTTGCAGAACGGAAACCATTTCCGCTGGCCGCCAGAAATGGCACTAATAGATGCCTCCTATCTCTCTCTACGGCAACATCAAGAGGATCCCTCGTGCAATCGTCTATTGCCTGTCCGTATCCAAAGTGTGGTGGTATTATGGTTACCATCACATTGCTGGTAGCCTTTGGAACCCCAATAGAGCATATCTAACTCCTGGGTTCCCTGACGGAGAAGGACGATATCCATGGTTCCCAGATTGATGCAAGAGCCTTGCGCCGTTACGTCCTCCTAGCTAACAGAAGTTTAACTCCCATTGCAAGAGTCCAGACACGGATCGGGCCCTTGATTCTGACACCTTCAGAAGCCACCTCACCCTATATTCCATGTTCCCTTCCCGCAGGTTCATTGCTTTTGCCTTCTGACTTGGCTCGAAACGATGCAACCTTCGGTACGGTGCCTCGACCATATATGGGGCTCTCCCACCGTTGACTATTCATTTGCAGTCGTGGGTGTGATCCTAGCAATTTTTCTTTTACTCATGGCTGTTGAATGAACTTCTCCGCTTTCATGAAAGATTGACTTCGATACCCCAAGCAATGCTATCTTCGCGCCAGCTGGTCGCTCTTGCGACAATCTTGCACGCAGCTACTCGAGTTTCGGCTCAAGACTTGAAGGAGCAAGTCTGGGCAGTGTTTGCTTACACTCTATACGGTGACCGTGTCCCAACAGCTTTGCCCCGTCCGAATATCCTGACCCCGTATGGAGCCAACGGACTGTATGCGGCCGGGTCTGCTTTTCGAGATCGGTATGTCGCGATCCATTCGACCGACGTCAGCCCGAGTACAAGAATCGAGAGCATCTCTTCGTATGCGCTAGAAGACGAAGATCTGAATATCCTCTCAACTACCGATCCATCGGTCATTGCATCCGCCCAGGCTTTCATGCAGGGCCTATATCCCCCTCTCAACGAAACCTACGACGTGCAATATCCTGACCCATCATACCTTATGGCCAATGGAACCTATGCGACTGCTCCTATGGGGGGATACCAGTACCCACGAATTGTCACCGTGAGCTCGGACGATCCCCAGTCGGTCGTGGTGGCGGGTCAAGATAATTGTTTCCTGCATCAGATCACCGATGCGGACTACCAGCTCAATTCTGGAACCCAGCAGATAATTCAGGAGTCTGCAGCGTTCTACAATCGTCTTTACGACCAGGCCCTATCTGGCGATTTTGATCGCTCTTCGGTCAACTATGCGAACGCCATCTCTGTCTCCGAATTTCTGGAGTATCAGCTCTTACACAACGAAACACTGTTGCTCACCGTTAGTCAGGAGGATATATTACTCGCACGCTGGTATGCCGACCAGTATACCTTTGCAACCAATGGCAACACGGAGTCATCGGGGGCAATTGACAGCGGTGCCGTCCGCACGATTGCTGGTCAGACATTGGCTGGCCATATCTTGGATGCGTTCGACACCAATGTCCTCTACCGGGGTAGCAGCGGAAAAATGACCCTCCTCTTTGGAGGTTATGAGCCTGCTGTCGCTCTCACATCCCTCACCCAACTAGCATCACCAGGAGATGGGAATTTTTATGGGCGTCCGGCGCTCGGAGCCTCGATGACCTTTGAACTTTTCAGCCTGGAAAATGCCTCTTTTCCGACGTACCCCGATCCGTCTCAGCTCTATGTGCGGTTTCTCCTGCGCAATGGGACAACCTCGCCAGAATTCCAATCTTACCCACTTTTTGGCCACAGTCCCAGCAATATTGATATTCCTTACACGGAGTTCAAAGCTGAGATGGAAGCGTTTTCGCTCAATTCGACGGAGGAGTGGTGTCTGATGTGTGATTCGAAGTCCGTATTCTGTCCTGGTGTTTTGAGCGACGAATCGGGTGCATCTGCTTCATCAAAGACAAAACCAGCGAGCAAAGGTATGAGCCCTGTTACTGCAGGTGTCATTGGAGCCATCGTGACTCTTGCTGTCACTGGTCTTGTTGCCCTTGGCGGGTTCCTGCTGCTTGGGGTTCGAATGCACCGTCGACGCAGGTCGAGCCTGGAGGAGATAAAAGGAGGCATTGCTTTGGGAAGCGACTCAAATCTTGCTCTGCGTGAACATGCTGCACCCCCAGCAAAGACTATGAAGCCTTAAGGCATTGATCCTCGCGCACCAGCTCTATTAGTATTTTGGTGATCTGCATGAGGGACATCGACGGGCTTGGTGCAGATGGGGACAAAAAGAAATAACTAAACCTTATGAACTAATCTTAATATAATCTAATTTATAGTTAATAAACCTAGTCAGTACGGTGAAGAATACTGTAAGTGGGGGAGATCTCTACAGCAAGATACTAGATAGATATATTTTGGGGTTACTAGTTAAGGCATGAGCAACAACAGGTTCCCCAACAGGGTTAGTGCGCGGGATTGCCAGAGGGACCGCCCGATTAAGTTTCAGGCCCCGAGCGTCATCGTTCTCTTCCATGAGGATATCTAGATAATACTATTATCTTTTGTCTCTCAGATTTTCAGGCACCGTTTGTGGATTATTCTCGTCATTGACTTATTATTGTTTTTCTTTCGATTCTTTATTCTCTCCACTCAACCTTCGTGGCGTCAACCTCCGCCGGGATCCCACTACAGTAAAACACGGTTATAAGCAACACCCGATATAGGGAATCCTCCATTACAAGCAACTGGCCACCGTGTTCAAATTGCTACACCATACAAAATTGCTTCATCCTCCATTACTAGCAAATTGCTAAGATCCTGACCTTCCCCCATACAAAATTGCCTATATTGGATGCTCGGAATAGCTAATTTGAACGTCATTATTCAGGAATCATGCCAAAGCAGACCTCCAAACAAACGCGATGTTGCATTTCTAACAGCCAAAAAGCTGCTCTACGCACTCAACACCAGTTGAAGCCTCAGCTCACTAATATCGACCTTATCAAGTGGTTCGAAGCCACGTACAACCAGCGGATTGCTCCCTCCTCCGTATCCCGTATCCTGTCTCCCCGATGTGATTATCTTGATGCTATTCCCGACCACCGATTGAATGATAAACGACGTCGAACAGAGTTGTGGCCAGAGCTAGAGGCAGCAGTTATTGACTGGCTTGAACGCGCGCAATCCTATATTACTATCTCACAAGAAGTCATACGCGAGAAAGCAAAGCAATACTGGCCGATTATTTATCCTGATAAGATGATGCCGTCATTCAGCAACGGTTGGCTTCGAGGCTTCCAATATAGGAAGAATATCAAGAATTTCAAGCAATACGGAGAGGGCAGGGAGATAACACTGGGAAATGATGCTGAAGACCAGATGATCTTGATACGCAAAGCACTACGTGTTTACGCGCCTTGTGATATCTTCAACTGTGATGAGACTGGCTTATATTGGAGAATGCCTCCGGATCGTGGTCTTTCTACGCGTTCAATCCCTGGACGTAAGAAAGATAAGGCACGTATCAGTATACACTTCTGCTGCAATGCTGATGCCTCTGAGCGCCTTCCTTTATGGTTTATTGGTACAGCAAAGAAGCCTCGAGTCTTCCAAGCAGCAGGTATAAACCCAGAGAATCTAGGTTGCAAATGGCGAAGCAATCGAAAGAGTTGGATGACTACTGCAATCTTCAAAGAATGGCTTCTTTGGTTTGACCAGAGAATGGTTGGCCGGCAGGTTGCTTTATTATGTGATAACTTCTCATCTTATCTTGCTGCGTACGAAGAGGTTAAATCACAGTTATCAAATACTCTGATTATATGGCTGCCACCCAATTCAACATCACGATACCAGCCACTTGATCAAGGCATCATCCGGACCTGGAAGGCTTACTGGAAACGGCAATGGCTGGTTTATATGATGACTGAATATGACCGGGGATACGATCCTATAACTACGATGAACCTTTTGCAAGCGCTCCGTTGGTCAATATCTGCATGGAATCTTGATTTGAAAGATGATACAATCCGCCACTGCTTTACACGCGCGCTTTCAGATGACACTTATAATCCTATGCCTGACTCTGCTATCCTACATGATTTGACTGCTAGTCTACAGAAGTTGCAGAATACTGCACGGATTCAAGATATGATGCAGCTTGACCAGTTCTTGAATCCTTTAGAAGAGCAGGTTCATGATGCAACTACTGATATTGATGATGTTGTTCTAAGCCAGTACACTGCAGTTGAAGATGAGGTTGAAGAGGATGATGAAATGATAGAGCCTCTACCATTTATATCATCTACTAGGGCCCTGCAGGCATTATATGACCTCCGCTTGTACGAAGAACAACAAAATGATGCTAATCAAGCATCTCTACACTCGCTAGCATGCCAGGAACGTGATATTCTTCGAAGAAAGGTGTTAAACACGCAGCAAAGTGATATTCGTGGCTACTTTAGGTAGAATATTCAATATAAGGAAGACCTCGATATAAGCAATTTGGTGGCGTGTCT